TCTTCATCCGAAAGTCCAACAGAAATACCAGCACCAACTGAAGACGAAAATTCAGAAGAAGAAGAAAAACAAAAAGACAATTTTGAAAAATTAAAATCTAAATAATATTATATATAGTGGGTTCAAGTAAATCAAAACCAGTAGAAATTGATGATGAAGAGGCTATTAAAGTTAAAGAAGATATAGATGTAAATACGATAAGTGAAATGTCAAGAATTGATATTCTACAAATAAATTCATTGAAAGCAATAATCAATAAATTAGAAAAAGTTAATGAATGTAAAAAAGACAAAATATATTATAAATTACCTGCTTTGAATTTATGTAGTTATTCTTTATTTTAAATTAATAATATTAAAACAAATTAATATTATTAATTGCTTATACAACTTCTTTCACTTTTTGGCGTTGATGTTGAAACAGTGCTATTTGTTTCATCTATTAAATCTTCCTCATCAACAAATTTATTTTGAAATCTTAATAATTCCTCGTCCGTTGCCCTCCTCTTCAATGCCTTATAAAGTTTATGTATCCAAGAATTAGTATGAAAATTATAATTACCCCTACGATAAAATCCACCACATCTACATAGTTTCATTGGCATATTATTATATTATATTAAGTTAGAATATCTTTATTCATCATTTGTAATTTGAAATGCCTGTTCAAAATTAATATGAAACATTTTGTTAATGTCTTTTGAATTCATATTCACGTAGCAAAAAGAATATGGAGCAAAATTAACGGCTTGATGATACATATCTAATAATTGCTCTTTGTCAACAATGGCACTATTTTCTTCAATAAAACTCATTAACTCACTGGCGTTTTTCAACCTAAAAATATATAATGAACTGGCATTTAAACGAATGATAGGCGCTAAAACATTGTATTTTTGTGTTGAACAAATCACACTTACTGCATCGTGCCTGCCTCTTGTAAATAATCCATGTAATACGTTACTATATCTAACAAATTTAGGGTCGTCTGCGTGGTCATCTATAACGATTAATATTGAATGTAGTTTCTTTATCTTTTTAGATTTCATATAATTAATTATTTTCTTCTGTCTTTCAATTACAGTTTCTAAATCTGCTGGATTATAATTATCAAAATAAATTTGTTCTTTTTCATCATCCACGTGCAATTCGTCCCTGATGTATTTTTTAACTTCTGTAAATGTAGGGTCGTTATGGACACTGGGTGAAAATATAAATATTCTTGCAAATGAATTTCTATAAACATTCAATATTAAATTTTGAATAAGGACAGTCTTACCGCCTGTCGAAGAAGCAACTATAATACTTCTAAATGGTAATTTTGGCACGTGCTCATATTTGGATTGCTTGAATTCATATTCAGTTATGTTTTTTGGTTTTATTATTGGAACATCTGTCATATAGTTGATACTAAACATATTTAGAAAATTATATTTAAAAATTAACTTGTAATTAATATTAAACGGAACATCTTTTTTTATGATATGCTGGCAGCGAATACCATAAAAAATGGAACAGGCTTTCCATTGTTTCAATCAATAAGCATTGAAGCTAATTAGTTTGATGCGTTGTAAAGAAAACCCCAAGTGCTGTGCCCTCAGAATATTCTATTGTGCATGAAAAAAATAAGATTAAATAACTATTTTATCTTATTAGTTATATGAATAAAAGTTATTCAAATTATATTAATATAATAGATGAAGTAGAAAATATAGAACAAGTAATAATTACTGACAATAAAATAAAAAATGTTGTTATTATTCACTAGAAATAATTAAGTTGTTGATGCAATATATCAAAAATAAAAATGTAAATATTAATATAAATGCCTCCAAAGAAGAAGCAAGAGAAACAAAAAGAGATTGAATGTGTCAAATGCGAAAAATGCGGTCAAACAATTAAACCATTAAATGAATTAGAATTAGATACAGAAAATGTTAAAGTTAAATGTTGGCCGTGTTCATGTGGTAGAACCATGCATACAGTACATACAGTAAAAAAGAAAGATGCCGACGGGAGCACAGTTGAAGAAAGTTGGGTAGAAAACTTCAAAAGTGGATTTGGTAGGTTATTTACACCTGAGAAAGAATGATGAAAAAATAGTATTTAAAGAGTAGATTTAACACCACTTCAAACGCATAAATAAATAAATATATATATATAAATATTTGTATATAGAAATGTCTGAAGTTGAGAATGATGCTATTGCTGAACTATCAAAGAAGATAATGACAGTTAGTAAAAATGTTAAACTGTTGTACGAGATGATAAAAACTATTGACCAGAAACTTGATGCAAAGGCAAACGAACCAAAACATAACAATGAAGAGAAGGAAAAGATTGACAAAATGTTTGAAAAGAAAGGGATAGGCAGACCCAGCGGTGATTATGACACGAAGCGTAAAAATATTGCGATATGTTAAATAAGGGACAAATCAAAAGTCCAAAAGAACAAACATTAGAATATTATAAACTAATTAAGGGTGACGATGGTAAATATGTAATTGTTGAAAATTAAAATATAAATAATTCTAATAATATGAATTTATTAGAATTATTTAGCAACAAGACCTATATAAAATACGTAGTAGTTTGATATTGGAAACTGTGATGAGTTTGACAGAAATCGGGGCATGATTTTGATAAAGTCGGGGAATGATTTTGATAGAATCGGGGAATGATTTTGATAGAATCGGGGAATGATTTTGATTATAACCATACTATGATTATAACATTTATACCCTTATATGTTATAATTATAATGTAAGTATAGCGTTTTATATATTGAAGATAAAATCCTACAAGACGGACCATGCGCAACTCCGGAATATCCAAATTTCGAAAAATGATTAATTATTAGTCTTCTCATTGAATTATTGAAAATGTTGTTTCTTATTGAATAATTCTTCTTAAAATGCTATATATATGTATCTCTTTTGAAAAAATATATTTTCTAAAATATTTTGGAAAATGTGTGTTTTTGAAAATAAAAATGTTTAGGTGTATTGAAATTTTCAAAAATAATTCAACTTTTGTTTTGGTATGCTGTAATAAAAAAATATTTCTCAAAATGTGTTTAGACTGTTTCAAAATATGTTTTAAAATGGCTGTTTTGGGGCGCTTATTCAAAAAATGCAAAAAAACCTAGGGTGGACCCTAGACTTTTGAGTCCGAAAAAAGTTGCGCATGGCCTCACCTAACTCAGGGCTGTATGATCAATGGCGCCCGGATGGGTGGCACATTGCCCAGCTGGAGATGCTGATGGTACTGGCAGCGCTCACAGTCTTTCATGGCCAGCTGCGGGGACGCACCGGCTTGTGGATGATAGACAACGTGGCTGCCCTGATGGCGCTCATCAGGGGCAAGTCCGACACAGTGGATCCTGGACCATTTGGGAATGCTTACGCACGCAGCTCTTTTTGGTTTGAAGGTCCAGACCTACTTTGATTGGGTCCAGTCTCATAGTAACTGGAGTGATGGTATCTCACGTAGAGGTTTTGACGACGCATGGGCTCGGAGGCATCAATTTCAGCTTACCCGCAGTGTTTTCCCTATTTTCCTATGGCATCTCCCACTGCGTGGATGTATTCGGGTCTTTGAATTTATCTAAGTGCATTGGGCATTGCGATTTGAAGCGAAAAGGACCGGCTCGTTGAGTTAAGTGCTTTGGGTGGTTAAGTTGGGAGCCTGTTGGAAATCGCTGCAATTCTGGCTGTGGAGCAGAACTGTCAGTGGTTAACCAATGCCATTAACACTCAGAGACACAGACCAGCGAAGTGTGAAAACATCTGAGCTGCTTGGGTGGTTCCTCCCCCAAATGAAGTATATTATATGTTTTTAGTGGGCAAAAGCTGAAGTAGGTTTGATGTCTTCCCCAGAGGTTTGTTGGCCGCCCCCGCCCCGCACAACAGAAACGTGGTGAGCAAATGTTCGAAGGTGCCTTCCAGGAAGCTCCTCGGGCCCAGCCTGACAGGTCTCCATTCATGACTCCTTCCGCCTGCTGCGCCAGCATCTCCATGAGTTCCTGGATGCCAGCAAGACCCTCGCCGTGGCTTTAAGTCTCACGGAATTGGGTTTTTGTGAGGCCTTGTTTGGACCTCATCCCTTGCTTGGACCTACAGTCACACTTTCACTGGAAGTCAGTAAATTGCAATTTGTGAAGTGAGCCCTGTAAGGCTTTTGAATTCAAAGCAGCCCGAAAAGGGGGCGGGTTTTTGCGTCTCCGAAACGCCCGCGCCGAGGGCGAAGGTGACCGCCTGGATCCCCGAGACCCAACCCGTGGAGGGATCCTTCAGCTGGAGCTTCGCAGAGAAGGCGACCTGCACCGCAGGGGGCCCAAGACGTTCCGACTTTTGATGAGCGCCTCTGAAGTTTGTTAGAACCTGGCAAGAGGGTACCGGTGCCATCATCCCTACCGAAATGGGAAGGTCCGGCAAAGCACAAGGTATGGTAGTCCAGCCACGACACACCCAGAAGTTTCTGGTCTCCGTCCCCGGCAACCCCCTACGTAATAAGCTCACCCGCTTTTAGGCCTTGAAACTGAAACCTCATGGTGGCCACAGGGTGAGCAAAGCTGCGAAACAGAACGGAGTGTCCAAGAGATCCTCGCTTCCCCTTAGAGCTCACCAAAAGGTCCTAATGGCTTGGGATACTCCTGCTATAAAAATAGGGTGACCTCGAAAGGACTGTTTTCTTTTTGGTTGCCTGTTTTGTTTAGCCAAAGTGAAAAGGGTACCATCAACAAACACAAACCCAGTTGCAGTTGACCGTGTTGCAAGTGGGCTTGTCCAGATAGGGGAACCCTCAAAATGGGTGGCGTCCTTTTGGCTTTCCTTTCAAGCCAGTCAAAGGGGCTATCCTCAAAACAGCAGTGACAATGTTTGGTGTTTGTACACCCCCGCTTTTTCGTTGGGTCCTGTTGGTTTGGGGGGCAATGTTCTATCTCGTAGACTCGAGTCATTCGACAGATCGTTTGAGGTGGTGCCGGACCACCTTCAGCCCATGGCCGCGCTAAAAAGTGCAGATATGGTGGGCGCTGGGTTGGATGAGCCCGGCATCCAGGCCTGAAAGTTGGCTGCCCGTTGGAACCACGGCAACTGTTGGAACAGCATCCTTTGGCAGATGTCCCCAGGAGTTGGTTGAAGACGTGAGTATATGTCTTATAAGAGACAAACAAGCATCCTTTTGGTCCCTCTTGTTGAGCGGTGCAAACCAAATTTTGCCTCTTGGTCCACTCTCTTGGCACCTCCTCCTTTTAAACATGAATTTGGCCGCCCGCAGGCCTGGCTCTCGCTGAAGAAGGGCAAGGAGTGCCTCGTGGCGGGAGCGCCTCGAAGCGACCAAGGGGTGAGAAGTGAGCTGATTTACTCTAAGCAAATCAAGTCAGCGAGGAAGGAAGCTAGCTGGGCAACAAGCAAGCAAGTAAGGGAGCAAAGAAGCAACATTCTTGCCATTTCGCAGGGTTTGTTGGTTTTTGTATGTCAAATCGTTTCTAAAAACAAACAATGAGAGCTATTTGCTTGTCACTAGCTCAAAACACCTCTCATTGAAATTGATCCATTCAAGTTGCAATCAGCACGGATGGCGGTGTAAAGGGCGCCATCACATATCTAATGGAGCAGGTGTACTGCAACAATATGGGCTCGCATTCATCGATGCTTGTGCTTTGTACCATGTTGTACTTGTCAGTTTGTCAATGTGGGAATTCCAGACAAAAAGAAGTCCAACCTCCAACGCCTTCCCTTTTGGTGGACCTAGTTCAAACATATGCCGCCCCTCGCCCCTTTTACTTTTCCTATTGCACCCGGACCGTCAATTGCCAAACATGGGCTTGTGGGCGCAGTGGTTCTTGGCACGCACACACCTTCCAGCATTGCCGACACTTTCTGTGAGCCTAAGATATCCGCCAGCACCGAATGGGAAAAACGCGGAAGTGTGTCTCCAATATTTCCTGTACTCAATCCAGGTCCGTCCTTGATGCAAAGACAACAGCTTGCTTTTGTCCCCTTGAACGGACTTGTTGACGCACTAGTGACATGTGAGATTTGATAGAGCCACCTCTGCTGGTAGGGGTTGCCAACAAACACCTTCCGTAGGGTGTCCATCTCGTTAATTGTGCTTGGTACTTGTTTGTGTAATGTTTTCAGCAGGCCTCAGGTGTTAACCTCTCAGACCTGTGGGCTTTGAGTCCTGGAAATATGGACCCCCAAAGGTAATATAGTAACATCATGTAACATCAACACTTTCCCATGGGTTTGATCTCAGGTGAAGGGCGTGCCAACCCACTTCACCGTGATCCAGGACGGCAACTGCCCGGCACAGCTGAGCAGCTCTGAGCTGGTGACGGTCACCGCAGTGCGTGAGGGTGAGAAGGCGGGAAGGACCCTTTCAGTTCCCGGACTTGTGAGCCACGAGTTGAGCTTGCTATGATTGATGTGGGATGCCGGAATCCACGACAGGTGACTTTCATGGGCCAGTCGGTGGTAGCTCCACTGGAAGTTGAGCATGTGGCAGGATGCTTGGCTGATTTGGAGGCGCGACACAGATGGTCACTTTACAACGAGTTCTACTATTTGGAGCAATGCGGGGCCATTTGAAGGCCTAAGCAAACTTACAATATGACCATGTTTGAACCCATAATCAATGGGTTTTGGGCACTGCTCGATTGTGCTGGCCATGTTATGTACGAAGTCAAATCAGATGCCGGATGAGCAGCCGCAGCATGCGACTGAAAAGTCACCTGCCCAGTGGCTGTGGTAGGACGATGCCAGAGTCGGAGGCAGTGTAATCTCTTGTAAACCCTTTTAGCCAGAGTGATTGACGATGCGGTTCCCGAACCATTCAAGTACTCCTGGGCTCCACATGCGCGCCTCTAGGTGTCGCCTTCAAAACTCACAGGGCCGAGCCGAACTCGGCGCAAGTTTCCGGAGCCTTGTGCGTGCCTTGGGCGAAAGCGCCGGAAATTCTCCATGTTTTGCGATGCTTCTCTTTTGGCCCGAGCGCTATCAGATTTGCACCAACGCTGTACTCCTGGGATTCCCCTTTCCCAGACACATGGGCCCCGACTTTCTGCTTTGTCCCTTTTGGGGACACATTCTAGGCCCGTTTGTGATTGGCGCATCCCGGGAACACAATAATAGACACACACACGTGCACCCCTTTTTTTCCCTTCAGGGGAAACATTCATTACAAGCTTTTGGCCCCAGACACATTCAATTGTCACACACCTGCGGACCTGTTTGTTCAGATTCATCAGTGCCAGACACATGTGGGCTCCAATTTTCATTGTGATCTCGCATCGTTTGCAGCCGGCCATGGCAAAGCTGCGTCCGTTGCCGGATTGCCAGGAGGCGCGAAAGGGTGCCAAAGATCTCGGACATGCATGTTGAAAAAACTGGCTTGGGACCTTAGCCAAACTGCAGTCCCTTGGGCCTCGCCAAGAGCCACCGGAGCAATGCTGTGTTTTTCTGGCTTGCGCATGTTGACTCTTGTGGATTTGATAGACGGCAGAGACGGCCGCTTTACCATGATGGCAAGTTGGGTCTTATTGGCGTGGGGGAGCTTGGAGCATCCTGGAAACGAGCGTTTAGGCGAGTACACTTGAAGACGAATCACCTTGGTGCGTGAAACAAATTGCTGGATGGGGCCGTTTCAGCCACGAGCAGCTTGCAGGAGGCCCCTGTTGCGGCGCCCGAAAGGCCAGACGCGGGCCGGAGGGAGGAGAGGAAGCTCCTTTGAAAGGCTTTTGCATATGTTGTAGCCTACTTGTTTGTTCTGTGTGGATGCCTCCAAATGTGCAGCTCGCTGTACATTCAAGGTGATAGAGCCTTCGCAGCAAGCTTTGCAACAGGAAACTCGATGTATTGTCTTCGGGGCCAATCTCCAGCTCTCCTTTCGGTGTTGAAGCCAGGGATGGCTCAGGGCTTGGGGCGGTGTGGTATGCATCATGGAATTCTGTTGCCCAGCCATTCTGGAAACAGAAAAAGGTATATAACCCCATGCTGCGTAATTAGCTTGCCGAACATGGGCGCGCAGTTCAGATTCCCCAAAAGCGGCGATGGGCTGCAAGACGGTTGGAGAGAAGTACGGTAGTCCAGTTTCGCTCCCCCCGCCCACCTAGCCTAAGTGCCCTGTTTTGTTGCCTCAATATGGCCGTTTTGTTGTGGCCAAGTCGAATCGGTATCACGTGGACTTGTTACTAGTACGCGCAACAAGAAGTCCTCATCGTTGGCCTATGGTTGCCCATGCAATGAAGGCCTTCTACCCATGGCGAATGCTATAGTTCAGTATCTGTGGGCCCGCAGGTAGAGGCCCATCTGAAGACTGCCCTGACGATCTTGCAACTTCGAGCTCACGCACGCTGAGGGTCAAACGCTCCCAGACCTCGACGGATGCGGGGACCTCAACGCTGTCGGCGCCCTCCGTGCCGGCCCGCTTTCTCCACATTGGATTCCCAGACTGTCTGGCCACTTTCTGATTGAGACTCGTCTTGGTCTTGGACGATTGAGATGTGGCTTGGGCTGACCGTTCTCGCTGAACATGAGGCCGATGCAAATGAGGATAGCCAGGATCCATTTCTCAACCTCGTTGAGATGGCCTTCGAACACCAAAGTGAACTTTGACTTTGGAAAGCTTGACGAGACAACGTGGCATGCACAGTGAGACCCGCTTGGTGAGGTCAGTCCTTGTGCTTCAACCTTAGCGTTGGAGAGCAGGCTGCGCAGCGATGCACCCAGTATGGCCAAGCAGCAACTCGCACTTTGTCGCAGTATGGACCGGCGTTGAATTTTTGTGCCGACACGCTGTCTTTCAGCCGAAGCCTTCGTGCAGATCGTCTTTTCAGAGGCTTCGCTTGGTGAGACAACGTGGCATACGTGACGCGCTTGGTGAGGTCAGTCCTTGTGATTTAACCTTAGTGTTGCAGAGCAGGCTGCGCAGCGATGCGCCCAGTCTGGCCAAAGCAGCAACTCGCGCAAGGTGTGCGATTCGGTTGGGCTTTCAACTTGCCCCGGGTCGCGCAGGGCCTGGTGTTGCATTGTCGTGTTTCCCTTCCAAATAGGCGAGATGTGCGAGTAATCGCAGTTCGAGCGCATTTTTATGCCCGATTGGAAACAAGCAGTTTTGAAGACGGCTTGGCCCGAAATGCGCACCGCGTTTCGAGCGCAATTTGGCGCAACTTCGGGTGCAATTTCGCGCAACTCGGGCGCAAATCCGTGCAACCGAGCGCAATTTCAACAATTGCCCAACTTCTGGTCACGACACTAGCGCCAAGTCGCTGGCTCCCAGAAACGTTTCGGGCATTCTTTATGCGAAAAACATTCGAGCACAAGTATCTGTATCAATTGAATCAATTGGGCCTCCAAGAATCTTTCAGCTGAAGCCTTCCTTGCAGCTGGTCTTTCATCAGAGGCTCTATTGCGCTGTGGGAGCCTCCGCAGTCTGAAATATTGGGCCTGCCGAAAGTCAACCTCGCTGAAGGGCAAGGCGTTCAAGGTGCAAGGTATATGATTCGCTTCGGCTTTCAACTCGGCCCCGTGTCCCTTCCAAATAGGCGAGATGCGTGAGTAATCGCTGTGTTGCAGGGGGACAGAGCGTCCAATGCGCTGCGAACCCGCGTTTGCTCAAATGGGGTCCGTCCACAGATGCTTTTCTGGCTGAGCGCTGAGCGCCTGTCCGCTAACAGAGGCAGCTTCTTCCAGCATTCGGTTCCGCGCAAAGTCCACTGCGCGCGCTTGGGCCGCGTGATCCTTTGGAGCGTTGTACAGGTGGATGTACGCCGCGGCAGCAAACTTCGCCGCTTGAAGGTCCGGAGCCAACTCACTCGCCTCCAGAACACTTTTCGTCGGCGCTTTAAATCCAAAACGTCAACGGCACAGACTGGCGTTGAACTTTTTGTGCCCACACGCAGCTCGTGCTGGCCATGAACAATGGTAAGGGTTGAATTGTCATTTAACCTGCAGGCCCAATTGACACAGACAAAAAGTACTTAATTGCATTTGCGGAGTTCGAGCGCATTTTTATGCCCGATTGGAAACAAGCAGTTTTGAAGACGGCTTGGCCCGAAATGCGCACCGCGTTTCGAGCATTCGGCGCAACTTCGGGTGCAATTTCGCGCAACTCGGGCGCAAATCCGTGCAACCGAGCGCAATTTCAACAATTGCCCAACTTCTGGTCACGACACTAGCGCCAAGTCGCTGGCTCCCAGAAACGTTTCGGGCATTCTTTATGCGAAAAACATTCGAGCACAAGTATCTGTATCAATTGAATCAATTGGGCCTCCAAGAATGTTTCAGCTGAAGCCTTCCTTGCAGCTGGTCTTTCATCAGAGGCTCTATTGCGCTGTGGGAGCCTCCGCAGTCTGAAATATTGGGCCTGCCGAAAGTCAACCTCGCTGAAGGGCAAGGCGTTCAAGGTGCAAGGTATATGATTCGCTTCGGCTTTCAACTCGGCCCCGTGTCGCGCAGGGCTTGGTGTTGCATTGTCGTGTTTCCCTTCCAAATAGGCGAGATGCGTGAGCAATTGCTGTCTTGCAGGGGGACGCGGAAGAGACGCGGAAGGGCGGTGGAAGAGATGCGGAAGGGCCAGTAACCGAAAACATTGATAGAAAACCAGTGATAGATTTACGATGGGCGCGGAAGTGTGCGGAAGGTTTGAGGAAGGCGGCGGAAGGGCAGTTTTCAGCAAAATAAATTATGCACAACCCCCAAATGGGGTCAGGCCACATTTGTTTTTCTGGCCGAGCGCCTGTCCGCCAAGAGAGGCCTTTCGTAGGCACTTTGAATCCAAAATGACAACGGCGCAGGCTTGCGTGGAATTTTCTCGCGCAGGCCGTCAGGGTTGACTTGTCATTCAATTTTTCAGCTGAAGCCTTCCTTACAGCTGGTCTTTTCATCAGAGCTCCAGCCTGCTTGGGGCGTTCAAGGGTGCGATTCGGTTGGGCTTTCAACTTGGCGCAGTGTTTCCCTTCCCAATAGGCGACATGCTTGAGTAATCGCTATGTTGCAGGGGGACAGACCACGTCCAATGCGCTGCGAACCCGCGTTTGCTCAAATGGGGTCCGTCCACAGATGCTTTTCTGGCTGAGCGCCTTCGAGCCAACTCACTTGCCTCCAGAACACGACACCGCTGTCGTCGGCGCTTTGAATCCCAAATGCCAACGACACAGACTGGCGTTGAACTTTTTGCCTTTGTCTTTCTGGCTAACCGCCTGTCCGCCAAGAGAGGCCTTTGGTAGGCGCTTTGAATCCAACGCAGGCTGGCGTTGAATTCTTGTGCCCACGCGCAGCTCGCGCAGGCCGTCATGCATGGTTCGGGTTAACTTGTCATTCAATCTTTCAGCTGAAGCCTTCCTTGCCACTAGTCTTTTCATCAGAGGCCCTTTTGCGCTGTGGGAGCCTCCGCAGTCTGAAATATTGGGCCTGCCGAAAGTCAACCTCCTCGTTGAGGGGCAAGGCGTTCAAGGTGTGTGATTCGGTTGGGCTTTGAAGTGGCCACAGGGGTAACAGGCACACACACACACATTGTCGAGATAGAGAAAATACCTAGCAAAATGAGCAAGGTGCCACTGGCATCTGCAATTCTTAAGGGGTTGTTTGCATCCCGCAATTGCCGAGCTATGATTGCAAAGTGCTCAATCGATCCATCAATCAACCAATCAAACAATCAATCAACTGTTGTGTTTCCCTGGTAATCTCTGTGTTGCAGGGGGGGACAGCGCGTCCAATGCGCCGCGAACCCGTGCTTGTTCAAATGGGGTCAGTCCGCATTCGTTTTTCTGGCTGAGCTGCTGTCGGCCAAGAGAGGCCTTTCAAAGGCGCTTTGAATCCGAAACGCCAACGACGCCAGGCTGGCGTTGAATTTGTGTGCGTACGCGCAGCTCGCGCAGGCCGTGACGCATGGTTGGGGTTGACTTGTCATTCAATCTTGCAGCTGAAGCCTTCCTTGCAGCTAGTCTTTTCATCAGAGCTTCAGCCTTGTTGGGCCCTTTTGCGCTGTGGGAGCCTGGTTCAAAGCCGAGGCGTTTCTTGTGGAATCTACCTGGATCGGTGAGGTGGCGCCTGACTGGGTCCACTGGCAGTTTCGTCCAGCCACAGCAGCTGGCAAGTTGACCGCATTTCGATGTTGAAGGGCCCTTCAAATGTGGTTGTCATCTGGTTTGCGGGGTTTGCCCAGTCCCATGATGCTGACCAATAATAGCAGGTCTTTGGTCATTCGCAGAGGGGCAGTGATGTCATGGTCCCAGCCCGACCTATGTGCGACGTTGAAGAGGGAAGTGGCCATTGATTGGTTGGGTTACAACCCCGCTTCTTGCAAGACAATCGCCGGTCCGGGCAAACCAAAGCAACTTTCAGCGTGAAATTCGGTGTTTCAGGCAGAGCCACAAGTCCAAAGTCAAAACTGCTCGCTGCGGCGCTAGGGCCCTTAGGGGGTGGCGATGTGGAAATGGCATCACAAGCTTTAGCCTTCGTGCCGGCAAGCTGGGCAGGACCTGAGGTTGTGAGCCGGGACCTTGCAACACCCTCTCTTTGGCCCCGGGCCGCGCAGGGCTTGGTGTGGCATTGTCGTGTTTCCCTTCCAAATAGGCGACATGCGTGAGTAATCGCTCTCTTGCAGGGGGACAGACCGGACCCCTTCCAATGCGCTGTGAACCCGCGCTTGCTCGAGTGGGGTTTGTCCACATTTGTCTTTCTGGCTAACCGCCTGTCCGCCAAGAGAGGCCTTTGGTAGGCGCTTTGAATCCAACGCAGGCTGGCGTTGAATTTGTGTGCGTACGCGCAGCTCGCGCAGGCCGTGACGCATGGTTCGGGTCTGAAGCCTTCCTTGCAGCTAGTCTTTTCATCAGAGCTTCAGCCTTGTTGGGCCCTTTTGCGCTGTGGGAGCCTCCGCAGTCTGAAATATTGGGCCTGCCGAAAGTCAACCTCCTCGTTGAGGGGCAAGGCGTTCAAGGTGTGCGATTCGTTTGGGCTTGCAACTCGGCCCCGGATCGCGCAGGGCTTGGTGTTGCATTGTCGTGTTTCCCTTTTGGGCCCTCTTGCGCTGTGGGAGCCTCTGCAGTCTGGTTCAAAGCCGAGGCGTTTCTTGCGCAGTCTTCCTGGATCGTTGAGGTGGATCCAGACTGGATCCGCCATGTTTCCTCCTGGTTGGTGCAGTTTCTTTCCACCCAGCAGCTGGCAAGTCCCAGCCCAAGTGCTCGATATTTCTGGCACGCTTCTCTGCGCGTTGCATGTGACATCATGCCCCCTCCCGCCGCCTGAACGTGTTTCTGGCTTGAGCAAGCCCTAGGCTCAGAAGAACAGCAAGTCTGTCAACAACGTAAAGGCGTTAAGGACAGCCCCGAAAATCTGAAGTCTTGATTCAGCAGTGGAGCCGCCTTCGCAAGACACATCGCTTCGAGGTGGCGGTTTCAGCAGTTTTTGGTTGAAAGTCCAACTTCTCGCTGAGAGGCGAGGCATTCTTTGTGCAAGGTGTGCGATTCGGTTGGGCTTTCAAGACAGCCCCGGGTCGCGCAGGGCTTGGTGTTGCATTGTTGTGTTTCCCTTCCACATAGGCGAGATGCGTGAGTAATCGCTGTCTTGCAGGGGGACAGACCGCGTCCAATGCGCCGCGAACACGCGTTTGCTCAAATGGGGTCAGTCCGCATTCGTTTTTCTTCCGCCAGAGAGGCGCTTTGAATCCGAAACACAAATGCTAGGCTCGCGTTGAATTGTTGTGCCGATGCGCAGCTCGCGCAGGCCGTCACGCGTGGTACGGGTTGACTTGTCATTCAATCTTTCAGCTGAAGCCTTCCTTGCAGCTGGTCTTGTCATCAGAGCTGCAGCCTTCTTGGGCCCTCTTGCGCTGTGGGAGCCTCTATATTGGGCCTGCCGAAAGTCAACCTCTTCGCTGAGGGGCAAGGCGTTCCTTGTGCAAGGTGTGTGATTTGGCCTACTGGGTGTTCGAGTCGGATGAGTCGGACTTTGATGACGTTTTGCCAGCGCTGGGCCACGCAATTTGCGTGCTTGAGTCGGCACAGCTGTGAACTGAGCGTTTTGTGAGCGGAGATCACCGTGACGGTGAACCACAGCTGGCTGCAGAGCTGTGGTTGCCTTGTAAAGCCCCAGTTCATGGCGCGTTGAAGCTGATATCAGGTAGGCGAGAGCTCACCCATGCTGGATTTGACGCCCATCAGCTCAGCCCCCTCCCGCTGTGCATTTTGCTTGGGGGCAGGTAAGGCTGTTGACAATTTGATTTCGTGATGCCCTGTCAAGCTTGTCGGCGAGGTAATTCAATCAATCAAAGACTTGTAGACGCCGACTGTGACAGTGCTTAGAGCAAAAATCATGAACCGCAAGGGAGGGTCGCCAAGAGGGTACCCGCCAACACAGATTGAACTGTCACTTTGCCTTCGCCTTTGGCTTTGCGCGACGCCAGTCCACGCCTGCTCACACAAGCAGCAGCTGACCCACAACAATCCTATTTCCAGACCGTGCTTGGAACCACTTACTGCAACTTGGCTTTTTGATTCAACATGCATGGGACGCCCAAGAGGCTGCCAAAAAGCTGCAACGCACTCCGGCAAGCTGGGCAGGTGAAGCACTCCACCTGAGGGACCTTGCAACGCACTCGTTTTGGTGGCCTTCTGCTTCAAAGCCGAGGCGTTTCTTGTGGAGTCTACCTGGATCGTTGAGGTGGCGCCAGACTGGATTCACTGGCCCGCGCAGTTTCTTCCGGCCACAGTAGCTGGCAAGTTGACCGCATCTCGATGTTGAAGGTCCCTTCAAATGTGGTTGTCATTTGGTTTGCGGGGTTTTGCCCAGTCCCATGATGCTGGCCAATAGCAGGCCTTTGGTCATTCGCAGAGGCAGCCGGACCTGTGTGCGACGTTTCCCTGAAGAGATGTGAAGAAGGGAAGTGGCCTTTGATTAGTTGGTTACAACCCCGCTTCTTGTAAGACAATCGCCGGTCCGGGCAAACCAAAGCAACTTTCAGCGTGAAAATCGGTGTTTCAGGCAGAGAGACACAACTGCTCGCATACTAGCAATGAACAAGCGCGTTTTTGCGCGTTTGGGGCCACTTCCTGCCGTGCTTCGCGGCACTCTGGGCCTTTGTGGAGCTTGAAGTCTTTTCCGCGCGCGCAAAGTTCGAGCGTGGCCTGAGGCGCGTTATGCGCTTCGGCTTTCTGAAGGCAGCTTCTTTGACCTACAATCGAACAGAATAAGCCACCGTTGAGCCTGCCGGCTAAAGCATAGGGTGTGACCGTTCCCATGATATGGACAATTATCACCTTTCCTGACTTTTCGCGAATAGCGGTGTATAGCGATACGGTTGCCTTTTGAGACTTGTTCTTTGGTCATTTGCAGAGAGAGGGATGTCAAGGTCCTAGCTTGACCTGGAAAGCGGCTTTGATTGGTTGGGTTACAACCCCACTTCTTGTAAGACAATCGCCGGTCCGGGAAGTGCTAAGGAGCCCCTTATTGTGAACACGGCAGTTGCCTCAAGTTGGTGCAAGTTCACCGCATTTCGAATGGAGAATAACAAGCCGCACCCGACGCGCAGCTCGCGCAGGCCGTCTTGTCTTACGCGGAAGCTCGTTGAAGCTTCCGCGCAGCATATCGCAAGTCTTGCTGCTGCGAAAGAAGCCCCGGTTCGAAGCCCCAGAACATCCGATGTGTAAAGTTTCTGCTGTTTGCTGAAAAAGCACAAATCTGTGCCGTTTCATTTCAAATCCGTCGTTTCGATCAAAAGTGCCATAGTTTTCCTGGAGCAGGAAAATCCGCTTTTTGACCAGCAACTTCCGCTTTTTGACCGGCAAATTCCGCTTTTTCGCGAAACACTCATGAGTGCAGAATTTGCAGAATTGTCCAAGATTCCATGAATGCGAAAATGCGCTCGCAAATTTGAAAAGCGCACGCAGAAGAGAAAATGCATTTATTTCCGAAAAGGCACTTATTTTACACACAATGGAGGCTCCTGATGAGGTCCTAGGTTATGACAATCTGTCATTTTCATTTTGGTCAACGCTCAATTGAATGGCTGTCAGAAGTAAAGAATTGGCACTGACACTGCGCTTGCAGACTGCGGTTCAATAGCTTGTGCGGCCACGCGTCTCCTGCCTTGGCACCGAACACTTGAGCGCATGAGCACAGCTGCGCACGTTGAGCAAGCAGCGCAGCTTTCGGCAATTGTGAGTAGCCCTTGAACTGCTGTGTTTCCCTTGGCGCTCAGCATATGGAATGACAGCTGGCAGAAGAATTCGACGCTTCACATGCCAATGCTTCATCCTTGTTGTCTATTGGGGCTGTTGCCGCTTGGCAGAGCCTTGCAAATCAAACAACATTGTAATTCAGGCGAAGCACGAGTGCGTCTGCTCCGGCACCCACTCTTGCGGCAGTTCGTGAGTTCTAGTGCATAAAAAGCAGGCTTTAGCTTTGAGGCGAGACTTTAAATCCGTATCACCTTTTTCCACATCAACCCCTACTTAGCTTAGGGTTCCCCAAACAGGGCCTCGGAAGAAGCAATGGCAACCTAGTCGCTGCTTCAACATGGCCAGGGCCAGTCCGGCGCCCGTGCGCATGCTGGCCAAGATTGATTTCTTCCGTATTCCTCAAGTTGCCTGTGCCATGTTTTACAAGTCAAATAAGTGGAGTTTCGAAAATGCAGGCATCAGCGTCCTGGCAAGAAGCTTTCCTTGTCGACGCCTTTGGGACATTGCGCCGTTTTGAGACCAATGAGGCGCAAGTCCCGGCGGAAGTGCAATCGTCGCACCTGGTAATTCCACACGAGCACACAGCGCACGCGCTAGAGCTGCAAGAGCACCGTAGGGCTTCCTTCAATGGATTACATCCCAAAGCAATTTCCAAGCGTTGCCTGTTGGTATCCTGCACTGATGGTCATCGTATCTTGCGTCAGAGCAAGTACCAAGGGTCGACCCAGGCAAGAAGGCCATGTCTTGGAGTTCGGGTTGCGCCAGGGACTTCATTGATTGCCCTTGCCTCCAAACCTTATCGTCGCCCATGGCCGGACCAAAAAGAGAGGAGCGGGGATTCTTCCTTCTGAGATCTGGAGATCTCCAGCACAATGTGTGTGCTGTAGTAGTAGAAAGAGAGTTAGCAATCAATTTTCCATATTATCTTCACTCAGCATCATTCCCTGCATCCAAGCCAGCCGCCAGAGGAGCGGGTGGTGCACAAGGTTTGGCAGCTTGTAGATTGAAAATATGACTGTGAGAAGTAAAGAATTGGCACTGACACTGCGCTTGCAGACTGCAGTCCAATAGCTTGTGCGGCCACGCGTCTCCTGCCTTGGCACCGAACACTTGAGCGCATGAGCACAGCTGCGCACGTTGAGCAAGCAGCGCAGCTTTCGGCAATTGTGAGTAGCCCTTGAACTGCTGTGTTTCCCTTGGCGCTCAGCATATGGAATGACAGCTGGCAGAAGAATTCGACGCTTCACATGCCAATGCTTCATCCTTGTTGTCTATTGGGGCTGTTGCCGCTTGGCAGAGCCTTGCAAATCAAACACACTGTAATTCAGGCGAAGCACGAGTGCATGTGTTGCTTGCCTGTGGAGCTCGCGTCTGCTCCGGCACCCGCTCTTGCGGCAGTTCGTGAGTTCTAGTGCATAAAAAGCAGGCTTTAGCTTTGAGGCGAGACTTTAAATCCGTATCACCTCTTTGCACATGAACCCCTACTTAGTGGATGCTGCCCGACTTTCGGTTGTTTCCTGGTCACCCTTTGCGCGAGTATTGGGCAGGCAGTGGGTCCAGTGTGGGCTGCCCGAATCCTGCTCAGGTTTAGGGTTCCCCAAACAGGGCCTCGGAAGAAGCAATGGCAACCTAGTCGCTGCTTCAACATGGCCAGTCCGGCGCCCGTGCGCATGCTGGCCAAGATTGATTTCTTCCGTATTCCTCAAGTTGCCTGTGCCATGTTTGCCAAGTCAAATAAGTGGAGTTCTGGAAATGCAGGCATCAGCGTCCTGGCAAGAAGGACATTGCGCCGTTTTGAGACCAATGAGGCGCAAGTCCCGGCGGAAGTGCAATCGAGCACACAGCGCACGCGCTAGAGCTGCAAGAGCACCCTAGGGCTTCCTTCAATGGATTACATCCCAAAGCAATTTCCAAGCGTTGCACTGTTGGTATCCTGCACTGATGGTCAGCATCTCTTGCGTCAGAGCACGTACCAAGGGTCGACCCAGGCAAGAAGGCCATGTCTTGGAGTTCGGGTTGCGCCAGGGACTTCATTGATTGCCCTTGCCTCCAAACCTTATCGTCGCCCATGGCCGGACCAAAAAGAGAGGAGCGGGGATTCTTCCTTCTGAAGATCTGGAGATCTCCAGCACAATGTGTGTGCTGTAGAAAGAGAGTTAGCAATCAATTTTCCCTATCATCTTCACTCAGCATCATTCCGTGCATCCACCGCATGGTTTGTTTGGTTGCTTTTGGAGCCACCCTTTGCGCGAGTATTGGGCAGGGTCCAGTGGGTCCAGTGTGGGTTGCCCGAATCCTGCTCAGGCTTAGGGTTCCCCAAACAGGGCCTCGGAAGAAGCAATGGCAACCTGGCCAGTGCCGCACATGCGCATGCTAGCAATGAATAGCCCTCAATCTCTGCGCGGTTATGGGCGTTTGGGGCCACTTCCTGCAGGGCCGCGCAGCCCTTGGCCCTTTGTGGAGCTTGAAGTCTTTCCTGCGTGCAAAGTTCGCGCGTGGCCTGAGTCGCGTTATGCGCCTCAGCCCTCTGACAGCAGCTTCTGATAGCAAAAAAGCGGAGAAGCTTTTGGTTCTCTGTCAGAACCGCTTAAAACCGGATTCTTTGCACATGCAAAGATCTATAATATATATATATATATCTCAAAAGTAGCATTTTGTTTAGTGATTTTGGCAATTGTCCAGGTTCAAAACCTGGGTTTTGGAGGGGGGGGGGGGGTAGCATATATATATATATATATATGTGCTACCCCCCCCCCCCTAAACCCCCCCCCCAGGACCCACGCGCTGGCTATCTATCTATATAGATATATATATATATATGTATATATTTGCTCACACGCCACCCATGATCCACGTTTCCTCCTTTGCACATCTTCCATTTTTGCAAATACACTCAAAAACTACCATAGCTTTGCGCATTTGCTCATTTGACATCTTCCGCCTTTTCAAATCTGCTCCACTACTGTTCATTACCTTTCCACGTGCTTGCCAAACTGCAATTAACTTTGGTTGAAATTCTGGTTGGAAAGGATTTCCTACTTAAATTAGCAATCAATATAATCAATCCCGTTTACATAGCAATTATCGTTGACAAAAGCACGATTTGGAAAGTACTTCCTACTTTAAACCTCAATTAGAATTGACATTCAACCGCATGTGCTTTGTTCTTGAATTCTATTGCAATTCTAATTGGATGTTGAGTTACATCTTATTTAACAGAGACTTAGATTTAAACTCTAGTTGGTTCAGCAAATATATCTGAATTATTCCCTTGCTAAGTTATATATCTGAATTATTCCCCTGCTAAGTTCTATTCATGGACAGGACGCTTTACTTAGTTTCTAACTGAAGGTAAAAGTCTAATGGAACTCGTGCCCTATTAAACTCTATGCAAGTTCTGCTTGTTAATGTTAGCTTCACCACGCGCAGGGAAAGGACTTCTCCTTTCCATTCTCGTTCAACATAGAATCCTACTAGACTTTCTTCTAGACTTTCCTTTAAACACTGATTGAACCTCAATTGGAGTCCTTATATTTCACATGCAGCTTTGCAATGACCCTTATAAAGGACTTTATCATCAGCCTCAGAAGGCGGCACAAAAGGAGTTGTAGGAGCCTTTAAGGAGCCAGAGCTTTATGATGAGTCGTGTGAGTAGCTTTATTTGAAGCTTCATGCAAACAGTCTTATAAGCAGCCAAGTGAGCTTCAAAAGGGGGCCAGCAGCCAGCCTCTTGTTCGAAACACGTCAAAGTCATTATTGCTCCAACAACCTCCCAAGCCTTCTGTTGGTTTCCTTCAAACTTGCACCGAGGCCACATTTCACTTGGCGCACCCCACGACCCCCACAACCCACCTCAATGGCTCGCTGAGGACTGATGCAGCTGCTACACAGCGAGCTTTTGGTGGCCCTGGTGCTCTTCTGCCGAAGTCTCCATGTGACGGACCTTCAGGTCTCCCTTTGCATGGCAGGCGGCTGCGCTCTGGTTGTGTTCCTGCAAGGGGGTTGCAGAGGTGTTTAGATGCAATCAATCTGCCCAGGGTTCAGGATGTGTGGAAGACGGTGGAAGATGTATTGTAACTAGGTGGTGTACTTTGACTTGGCGGCGTTTCTTGGTGTGCTGCGGATATCTGCAGATGATTTGATGCTGTGTATGCCAAGTTGATGTGTCGATGCCTGGATGCCATGCTGACGTAACTGTATACTGTCACTGGGAGCGTGCAAGGAGTTGTCAAAAATGCGTGTAAGGATGCTCACAAGAAAAGGCAATTAAGTCATATTGTGGAAATCATGGGGCTGGAAGCCCCGGTGCATGGCAGTCAGTTTCGCCGTGGCCAAGCTGGCCCGAGACGCATCGGTCTCATGACATGAGGGCTGACACGTATGGCCCGCTATGCAACACACATAGCAAGGCATAGCCCAGCAGCAGTTTGTCAAACACGTTTCGACTTTGCATTCGCATATCGCAAAAAGGGCTTGCTCCGTGGCCCGCGCCATGGCCGGTGGGGATGCCGTTCCATCCCGAGCATTCTGGAGGGATGATGAGATCATCTGCTTGGTGATGGACAGCACGAAGCTGAAGAAAGTCGACGGCTACAAGGAGGTCTTCGCGGCGCTTCAGAGCATCGAGCGCGAATCGGTAATCAAGAAGACCGAGGCCTTCGACAAGTTCTTCGAGAAATCGAGCGCCTACAACCAGGAGGGCATCGAGCAGGCGCTGCGGGTATCCTTCTTCGACCTGCATGAGAAGGAGAAGGGCGTGAGCTTTCACCGCAGTGCACCGTTCCGGAAAGGGACACGAGAAGGCAAGGAGCGGCGGCAAGCCCTACGCCCACCTGGTGGAGGAGGCACAGATGCCGGAGGAGGAACAGCCGCAGAAGGAAGATGATGGCCAAAGCCCATCGGTGGAGATCATCGAAGAGGCTTACGAGGCCGAGGAGATGGAGAGCAACTGGGAATCCGACATGGGTGCCTCTCAGGACGACGAGATCTACGACGCCTTCGGATGATCAACGCAGGACCTACAAGGACGCCAGGAAGCGATTGAAGGAGCGCAGAAGGCCCGCGGCTTCTTCAAGGGTGAGTTCTCTATGGAGGAGCGGAAGGCCGCGGTGCAGAAGGAGACGGAGAGGACCCGCTGTGCATCCTGTGGTCAAACGGTGATGCAGCCTGTTGTAAGCCATCAAGGAGTCCTCCAAAGAAGGGATCTGGTCCGAAGGGCGGCAAGTCCAAGCGGAAGCCAAAGATGCGTTTCTTCACCCTGCATGAGGAGTCGCAGGGCGAGGACGCCTACTGTAACATGGCCTACGAGGTCTCGGACATGGAAAAGAAGCTGGAGCCCAATACAGTACCAGGACAGCGGCTTCACGGAGGGCGATCTAAGGAGGCGTAAGACGACAGCTTACACAGGAGATGACTCCCAGCCATGGGACTTGATCGAGCAAGTCATCGAGCACGGCTATATGGCGAGTTCCAGCGGCGATGGCACAGCTCAAGGCTGTCTCCAACCGCGCGGAGCTCAGGAAATTATCATCCCGAACGTCAAGGGCACGGTCTACGACATCGAGGTATCTTCGCTGGTCGAAGCTCGGCCCAAGGAGCTTCAGATGATGAAGGGCCGGGAGCTGTGGACGATTTGCGACCAGCGGGGGATCCAGACCTCTGGCAAGATGGCAGACCTACTGGAGCGTTTGGAGAGCTTCTACCGCGGGGAGGCTGTGTTGAAGAAGGGCTGCGCCAAGCAGTTCTTGAGGTTGCGGCTCGGCTCAGACATCCCGAGAGGCAAATGGATGCATGAGCCAGAACCTGGATGCCGCATATTTCGAAGCTATCCCAAGGCACCAACACCTTTTTGACAACCAGCTCCGATGGCAAAGGCAACACCTACGGCCACGTCAGGAACTACGGTGGCAACGGCTATGGCAAAGGCGGCGGAGATCAGGGAGCAGCGCGCGAAGTGCACGGCGGCTAGCCTCGAGATTGGCAAGGGCTACAATGCTGTTCGTTGTGCTGATTGCGGGGTACACATGGTGGCAAGGCGGAACTGTTCCGACGCGGGACTCTTCTTCGGTTGCTCGCGTTTTGGAGATAGTGGGTGTCGTTTCACACGCCCGCTGCAAGACGGCCTCGACACCATCAACGGCAAGCTGGATGGATCCCTCCATTTCCCACGTAAGGGAGGCGGCGGGCGGAACTGGAACGGCCCCCGGGCGGTGTATCCGTCCTCAGAGGACCTGACAAGAATTTATTTGCGTTTGCGTCTTCTTCGGCATCAGACAAAGGCACGGCGTCACCAACGTCACCGGGCGGACATCATCAGCTTCAACTGGGTGACGGTCTGGAGCCGGGTGGCCTTGGTGGACACAGCATGCACGGCCTGCACGCACAGTGGGCGACGGGCCTTTGAACGGACCCTGCCGCCTGAACACACCTGTCAGCTGACGGAGCGCAGCAAGGACTTTGCGGATGGGTCCTCGACAGGGACTCGCGTTCCCGTTTGGCGGCTGCCGATTTTCCTTGGAGGCAGACCAGGCAAGGTGCATAGCGCAGAGGTAGAGACGGGAACTACACCCTTGCTGCTTTCATCAGGGGCATTGGAAGCCCTGGATGCCGTGATTCACTTGAAGGAGCGCAAGATGGAGCTCAAGAAGTTGGGCGTACTGCACATTACGCGGACTAGGCATTTTGCTGTGGAGGTGGCCGATGACTCCGAGTCCGTTTGGGCATGTGAGCTAGTTCTACTCCTTTGAAGGCTTGGTGCTGGGAAAGGTTCGGAACGGTCCCACACCACGTCAAGCTGAACAGAGTGAGGTTCTCAAGTTTGCTCTTCAATTTTGCTTACTTAGGCTGTCTTACTCTGTGCTTGGTGAGGGGCTCGGTCGCACGCTTACCGGCTTCAGATGTAGAGTAACAAACTGTTGCTTCGGTTCGCGATGGCGTGGCGGAGGCTCCGCCCTGTGGAGCGGTACAGCGCCCCGTCTGATCGAAGGGTCCGACCGCCGCCGCGTCCCCGTTCCCTCTAGAGCCGATGCCTCATTTTGATTGGCTCGCCTCGATCTTGCTCACTTGCAAGCTGTCTTGCCCAACTTGCCAAACTCCAAACGCGACCTGCTGCAAGGATTCCTGGCTGACACATTGGCTTTCGACCTCGGCAACGGCAACTTCATAGCAGTCATGGTCGCTGAATCTCATCTCGTGTCGCGCTCTGTCATGAGCAAATTCCGAACCTGGTGGCCCGTCTGGTTCATCAACTTTGAAAGACCTTGCTGCCCGGGACTCCCGCCGTTTGACTAATTTTCTTTGATGTGGGCATTCTGCTGCTGGTTTTGTTGCGGAATATGTGTTTCAAGTTGTTGCCTGTATCCTCCTGGCCGCAATCAACTTCGCAAAGAACATTCTTCAAACCAGTGCGGCGCACTTTTGCTGGCAGAAGTCTTGCTGTCTGAACCCAGCTCAACATTCGAGGAGGGTATTTTTTTCGTCGTTCATCTGCAATTTTCAAGTTTGGGCGGGTTTCGCGTTGCAATGTGGAAGAGCCGCAGCGCAGGAGACTTGCCTCGCAGGACGCAGATGGAGTCCAAACACGCATCGCAGCTTGCGCACACAACTCACACACACACAGTGTCTTCATACCAGCTTGCATCAACCCACGCAACTACACAACCTATAGTATAGAACAGGATGTTCCCTGGACACCGGCTATTGATTCTAGTCAATAACTTTCGATTCCTATTGAAACAGCCTTTTTCAATAAACAACTAATTGATTTTTAAGAGCTCTAAAATCAATACCAAACCCCCTTCAAAATCAATAAAAAACAGCTCACAAAAAGCAAGGCAAATCAACAACAAAATCAATAGAAACCATAGCTGTGTTATTTGCCAATGATATGCAAAAGCAATAAGCGTGACAGAGATACACCCCTACCCTAAGGCTGCAATATTTTTAACTTAAGAAAGCTAAACGGGAGAAACTACACAAATAGTTGTTTACAAACGGCTAAATAATTTCATTTCTAGTTTGCTCCCATACTCATGGCCAAATTTGGTTGTTGTGGAAAATGCAATACGTGGCCAGAAAAAAGTCAAAACTCTTAATTTACCATTTAAAGCCCAAGAACTGAGTTAATAGCGGCAGTGTTCCCTCGAAAGTTGTCTGAGTCCCCACTAAAGGGGGACAGTTCCGTTTTTCCCTTTCACACAGGGCAAAGGGAAAAACACATTGCTAGGGCAAATGGGCCGCCAAAGCACGGTCAACTCCACAAGGCTAGGCCCTTGCTCCGGGCAGGGGTTTAACTTCATCCGGGGTTCGTTCCCACTACCCTCCTGTCCACTAACATGGAACCCACCAAAGGGCTCCTCCTGGTTTCTAACATGTGCCCGTTTGTTGTGTTTTGTGGTTTTGGGGAATTCTCGAGGTGTTGTTTGAAACCTTGCACTTGCTTAGGGTTTGTTGGGAATTTCTATCTGGGATATGGTTGCCGACATTTTGTTTTTTCTGTGCTATGTGTTTTTTGTTTGAACTCTTGTTTTTTTGATATAGTGCATGTACTGATGGTTTGTTTGGACGGTTGCTGACATTCCATGTTGTTTTGTTGTTCTTTGTTTGTTTGGACTTCTCGAGGTTTTTGGGGAATAGCACTTACTGAGTTTGCTACCGAATTTGCATTTGGGACGTGGTTGCTGACATGTTCGCTTTTGTCTTTGAATCCTCGAAGTTTCTTGGAAGCTCTAAATTTACTCACCTCAAACAAAATTGGTTGCTGACATGTTGTTGTTCTTGCATCGCTCGTTGTTTGGAAGTTTGCATGTCCTGCAGTTTTCTTGGGGGTGTCCCACCAGAATGGGACTGCCCCCTAAGTTACTATTGACAATTCCAAGTTTGATATTGCAAGACTTACTAATCGATTTCCAAATTTCCAGTACTTAATATTGCCAATCCTAAATTTAGTATTGCCAAGACTGAATCTTCGATATAAAGTACTCAACCTAGTATTGGCAAATCCAGATTAAGTTATTAAGTATGGCCAAGACTTCATCTCAGATTCCCACCTGCTGAATTTGACCCCTCTTGATTGTCGTTTTGCTGTCAGTGATGGTCAGGGATGTGACACATGCATTTCTGTGATGTAGCAGTGAACTTTCCGTGCATGCTTCATAGAACCTATATATGACTGTCATGTGTTGGTGTGATTTTCCATGAATGTTGCATGAGTGTTCTATAATTATCCAGGAACTTCTTTGCGTGTTACATGCGCTGTCTATGCATGTTCTTTGCATTCGCTTATTGCACTTTTTGTGCACGTTCGATTCTTGTGAATTCTCTATGCGCTTCTTATGCACTTTCCCTTGGTTTCTACACAGTATCTGTTCACTTTCTAACCAGTGCAAAGAAAATGCGTAGACATTTCATAGGACATCATAGACAATCATAGAAAGTCACCAAAACATTAATAGACATTTCATGGGCGCGTCCTAAGAACATCAATAACATATTTTCAGAAACTTGGCTTTGGCCAGCTGCAAGGCAGCATCAAGACTTCATTTTGCATTTCTGTGCATTTGTTACAATCCATTCTTTGACTTTTTGCCTTTGGTTGATGTTTCGTACTTGGACCAAGGCCAAGCCCTGGAACTCTCCTGTTTCCCCAGCATTGCCCTAAGATTGTTTGCAGTTTCTTGGTTCCTTCACTTGTTTTTGTTTGATTTCAATTGAATCTTTGCAGGTGCCGCCTGGTGGAAATCCGCAGTTATTTTCAAGCAACGTGTCATCACCTTTGTTGATCATTTTTCTCAAGGGAACTTTCTTATCATCATTGCATTTGCCTTGGGAATGTGGCATGAGTCTTTTACCAAAAAGAAATGATGAACCTGACTCGCTTGGCCAGGGTGGATGGTGCTAGAAATCTGGCGCATCGTGTTAATTTATGTTTGTGCAGCCCCCCAGCAAAAAATGAACTTGATGAAATTTGTCAAAGTTGATCAAAACCATGCATTTGATCAAATTTGATCAAATTTGATCAAAATGTGGAATTGAGAGCCCCCCCCAAAAATTGGAAAACTCAATGTTGTTCCCTATGTGAATTTTGATTCTAGGGCAGATCATTCTGAGCCATCCCAATTGAAATCAATCCCTTGAAAAGAGGGCGCCACCAATGGCAACTGTGACCAGGACTGCTTGGGAAAGGATACCCAAAAACGTGTCAACACTGAAAAGCTATCAAATCAAATTTTGGAAGGCCCAGTGAGCAGTAAATCCGAGGACTGGAAAATATGAACCAAATTTCGGGATGGCTAAGAGACAACACAAACATCACCACGACAAAGTGCCAGTGAACAGAAAGCTTGAAAAACCATGAAACATGGAATTCCGCAACTATTCGTTGGCCTTGCTTCACCTACTTCCCCCTGCGTGGCCTTGCTTCACCCACTTTGCTTCGTGTCATGACCCCTGCGTGGCATTCCGTGGCTCCCGCGTGGCCTTGCTTCACCTACTTTGCTTCCTGTCATGACCCCTGCGTGGCATTCCGTGGCCCCCGCGTGGCCTTGCTTCACCTACTTTGCTTCCTGTCGCGTGGCCTTGCTTTGCCTACTTTGCTTCCTGTCATGCGTGGCCTTCCGTGACCGCCGCGTGGCCTTACTTTGCTCACTTGCTACTTTGCTTCCTGTCTTGGCCTCTGCGTGGCCTTCCATGGCCGCCGCGGGGCCTTGCTTCGCCTACTTTGCTTCCTGTCATCCCTGCGTGGCCTTTCGTGGCCGCGGCGTGGCCTTACTTTGCCCACTTTGCTTGCTGTCTGTTGCCTTGCTTCGCCTAATTTCTTTGCTTCCCGTAATGGCCTCTGTGTGGGCTTCCGTGGCCGCCGCGTGGTCTGACTTTGCCGCGTGGACTTACTTTGCTCACTTTTTTGCTTGCTGTCTTGGCCCCTGCGTGGCCCTCTGTGGCCCCGCGTGTCCTTGCTTCGTTTACTTTGCTTCCTGTCATGGCCCCTGCGTGGCCTTCCGTGGCCGCCGCGTGGCCTTACTTTGCTCACGTTGCTTCCTGCATGGCCTTCCGTGGCCGCCGCTTGGCCTTACTTTGCTCACTTTGCCCTTTGCCCACGCGTGGCCCTCCGTGGCCGCCACGTGGCCTTACTTTGCTCACTTTGCTTCCTGTCTTGGCCCTTGCGTGAGCTTCTGTGGCCCCCGCCTGGCCTTCGCCTACTTTGAACCCTGTCTTTGAACCCTGTCTTGGCCCCTGCGTGGCTTTCTGTGGCCTCTGCGTGGCCTTACTTGCTCTCTTTGCTTCCTGTCTTGGCCCTCGCTGCGGGTCTTGCTTACTTTGCTTCCGCCTTTGGCTGCTGGACCCTTGCGGGACTTTTGTCTTGGCCCCTGCGTGGCCTTCTTCGGCCCCCGTGTGGCCATACTTTGCCTTTCTCTGCTTCCTCTCTTTGCTCCGACCCTCTGTCGCCTTCGCGTGGCCTTTGCTCTCTCTGTCTTGGGCCCTGCGCAACCTTCTGCGGCCCCGCATGGCATGTTTGGCCCTGTGCGTGGCCTTACCTTGCTTACCTTGCTTCCTGTCTCGGCCCTGTCATGGCCTTCTGTGGCCTTCTCGTGGCCTTCCTGCACTTCCTGTCTTGGCCCTTGCGTGGCCCTCTGCGGCCCCAGCGTGGGCATTGCTTGCTTTGCTGTTTTCCACACTTGCGCCACCCTTGGGTTGACCCGCTCGCCCATGGTGTGGCCTGTGTTTTGGCTGCATCTAGTTTCCGGCCGGCTTGAACCCCAAGCTTCGGCCGGGGGGGAAGCGCGGGCCTAACATGCGCTGGCCACGAACCAACCAACCAACCAACCAACCAACCAACCAACCAACAGGCCAGATTCTTTTTGAGACAAATCGCTCTGAACAGGTGTAGGAAACCACGTTTGAGGAAAACCAAGCGACAGGACACACGTCTGGTGATAGAACATATGGGGACCACGCATGTTTATGGGTGAAACAACTTTGAAGAAATGCAGTTAAGGAACACTTCTGGGCTACACATATCCGTGGCCTCAGAATGTTGCACTCCACATATTTCACAAAAATGGTAACTACAATTTTCTGGGTGAACACATGTTGAAATTTTGTGCACTACAATTTCCTGTGTTGGACACACAATCTGGCATGTTTTACTACATTGCAGGCCAAATGTTTGACTGAACAATTGGTGGCCACACATTCTACTGGCCAAAATATGTTGAACATATAGTTGAGGCACATCTCTGGACTATGATTTCCTGTGGCCTCAACATTTTGACAGGCCACATGTTTGACACAATAAATTGGTGACTACACAATTTTATTGGTCGAAAATTTGCTCTGACCTCAAGACTCTCTTGAGCCCTTCGCCTTTTTGCTGCTGGGGGTCGCGGGTTTCGCCCTTCTTCACGTCACGCCGTTGCTCTTCCCTCTGCATCAAAGGCCTACCCCTATAGGCTTGTTTTCACGGCAGAGGCCTGCCGAAAGGAGGAAAGCTGCTTTTACTTCGCTTCTGTTCGACGGAGGCCGCCGAGGCAATCAAGCAATATTTGTTGCGAGCTGTTGACGGACAACCCGTGGAAAAAAGGGGACAATTCGTGGACAGAATCTTGAAAAAAAGGCGTGGGCAAAGCGTAGACCCACCGTGTAAAAGACCGACAAAAAGCGTGGGAAGGCGCAAAAAGGCGTGGAAAAGCAACAAAGAGGTGTGGACAACTTGAAACAAATGCTGCGCGAAGCAACTTGTCCGTTGTTTTTGCCAGTCATGCGTTGGATCTGGTGAGCTCCTTTTTTCTGAGTATGATTGACGCCTTAAACATGTAATTTTCAAAACAGATCCAAAAACATGCCTGGCCTGGACCGCCCTTTTACGCCGTTCATTCCATTTTGGGCCTTCAGCGCAGACGCCGCCCTTAGACAGGCCTTTGGAAGCCTGGGGCTTTCGAGGCGTTTGGCGTTCATGGGTGCTTGGCGTCGCGTCTGTTGCATGTTTGCAGTTTCTGTATTCATTCTTTCCGCACTTTCACACTTTCACGGTTTCACGGCTTTACGTTTTCACGCTTTCATGGTTTCACGCTTTCACGCGTTCGCGCTTTCACGGTTTCACGTTTTCACGGTTTCACGCTTTCATGGTTCACATTTTGAGGTTTCACGCGTTCACGGTGTCGCGGCTTGTCGCTTTGTAGTTTTCTGTATGTACTGTTTCACACGCTTTTACTGCTTTCTGCTTTTCTCACGGCTTAAAAAGGATTACCATTTTTTGCTTTCACCCTTTCACGGCTTTAAGGGTGCATGTCTGTACTGCTTTTTGAACCCTGGCCATGTTAGCGTGTTTTGGCCTTACAGCTTCGCAAGCTGGAGGCGTGCGCCTTGCCGATCTCATGTTTTTGCTGTTTTTTGGCCCCGCTGCTGTTTTGCAGCCCCAACTTGGAGCGCTTTTCAGATCATTTTGCGCCCGCTGGGGTTGCAGAATGACTTCCCTCTAGATCCTTCTTGTCAGCAGCCTGTTGTTTTCACAATGCTGCAATGCTGTTGGCCAGGGTTGCTTCGCGTGATTTTTCTCGGGGCATTTCCACGCGCTTTGAGAAACACGCCAGAAAAAAATGTCGGGCCCGGAAAAGCCGTGAAACCGTGAAAAACGTGAAATTTCATGATGGATTTTGGTCCGTGTTTTTCAAGGAAAAAGCAACAAAAAACATGAAATTGGTAGCCTTTGCTGCCGGGCCAAACGGTCAGTAAGGCGGATTTGCTTGGTAGCCTTTAATGCCGGGCCAAGTTTGCAGTAACGCATAGCCTTGCCTGGCGGACCGAGTGGAGTTTTTACTAAGGCGATTTTTTCAAAAGCTTTGCTGCCGGCCCGAATTGCTACTAAGGCGGATTTGTTTAGGTAGCCTTTTCTGGTGTGCAAATCTTTCAGTAAGACGTTTGTTTGTGGTAGCCTTGCTGCCCGGTTTTTTTTCTAAGGCGATTTTTGGGTTGGCCTTTGCTGCCGGACCGAGTTTTCACTGAAGCAGATTCTTTCTGGTAGCCTTTGCTGCTGGGCCGAGTTTTTACTAAGGCGGATTTTTTGGGTAGCGTTGCTGGCCCACCAAGTTTCCAGCAAGGCGGATTTCTGCTGGCAGCTTTTGCTGCCGGAGCGAGTTTTTACTAAGGCGGACTTTTTCGGTAGCCCTTGCTGGCCCACCAAGTTTCCAGTAAGGCGTTTTGGGGGCGGGCCAAATTTTCAGTAAGGCGGATTTTTGGTTAGCCTTTGCTGGCGGACAGAGTTTCCAGCAAGGCGGATTTTTGAGTAGCCTTTGCTGGCGGACAGGAGTTTTCAGCGCAAGTCACTTGCTCTGCCAACGGCTTCCAAAGTCAGTTTTGCAATCAGCGCGCGCCTGGCGCGCGATTATATCGGGCCAGGGCTTGAGATTGCTGATTTGAAAGTTTGAAAGTGGGGCCAGGGCAGCAGACAGCGCCCGTCCGAACGAGCTTTTGCGAACTTTGCGATTTGGGCGGGCTTTGCGCTAGAAGTAGACACTTCTGCGTTTATTCTGCGAATGTCCGTCGCTTCTGCGCACGCCCACTGTATGCAAAACACCGTTTGAAGGCAACGTGTGATGGGCCCCTTGCGCGCGACTCATGCTGCTACCGCGGCTTCATTCATGCGCCGGCTCATTTCTGTATTCAGGGGGGCGTGACGTGGCCAGACTTCTGATGACGAACGCCCGCGCCCACTCAGCAGGCGATGCGCGGAATTGCGACCATCATTGTTGATGATCCCGCCCGTTTGCGCGCGCGTTCCATGACCAGCGAGAATGCCCATGGCCGTGAGCCTGGCGAGCTTGTTCTTGCGTTCTCACGATAACTTTCCTCACGATAGCTACACGACCACGAAGGCTTACTTTTCAAGCCTTCGTTGTTTCGTGAACACGAAGGCTTGCTTTACAAGCCTTTGGGCTCTCTAAACACGGCGGAGGACAAGCTGACCTAGAGGATGATTGGACGAGACCCGAGAATGCTCATCGGCAATTGGAGAAGCCCTGACGGGGCGCACCATTTTCAAGTTGAAGACGCTGGTGGCGGAATCTCTGGTGCAACCCGGGACTCCGGCCCCCGGTGTAGCAGCGCCCAGTACTCCAGTGGCAGCAGTGAGTTCACAGCCAGACGTTCGGGTCCTCAAGAGGCGGAGAGCGAGGGCGAGACAGCTTCAGCGAGGGCGGTGAGGAGCTACGAGTGCTTCTTGAGCGGACCCTGGAGACTGGAAGACATGATGGCTGGTGAGTGGCACGTGATGAAGCTCGACGGTGACTTGGGCAAGGAATGGGTGAGTCATGAGTCCCATCAAGCAGATGTTCGCCTCATCCTGGTGTCCACAACAGCTCGAAGGATGAGGAAGCCCCAACCACATGGAGATCCTCTTGCGCTACCACTTCGCAAGGGCTACTTCATGATGCGGAACCAGGACATGCTCAGTCTCAGGTGCGACCTCTTCCGCAACGGAAATGGGAACATCTGCCCAGAGGGCTGAAGATGGCATTGAGGCGGATCCACGAGAATCTCGGACACGCACGGTTGCCGGACATGCTTCGGGCGCTTTGGGTTTCCAAAGCTTCGGAGACAGCCATCAAGGCATGCCGGCTCTTTCGGTGCAAGGAATGCCCCAGGCTGGCTGAGCCCAAGATCGAGCAAGCTACCTCTCATGGAAGAGTTCAATGTGCAGATCGGTTTGGATGTCTTCAGTGCCAAGGATGCGGACGGCCAGGAGTGCTGGCAAAAAACCAGATTTCAAGTGGCCGTGGTTCTCGGCGCTACATTTCGCAACCGCCGCAGGTTCTGGAGGCCTATGAACGCGGTTGGGGAAACTGGGCATGAGAGAGGGCTCATGACGGACCGCGCCAAATCTTTCTCACGGAGTTTGCCGACAACATGATCAGCGAGGGGTGTCACTTCGATGTGGCAGCGAAAGCTAGCCCCTGGCAGCTCGGCATGGTGGAAAGAGCGGGAGACATCTGGAAAAGGATGATGGCTCGCATGGTGTGGTCTCAGCAGCTGAGTGGCCGCGAGGACATGATGCTTTGCACGGCGGCCATCAATCAGGCTAAGAACAGCCTGACGAGGAAGAGTGGGGCCTCCCCGACGCAATGGGTCTTGGGACGCAGCATTCGTCTTCCGGCGGACATCCACAACGCCGACTTCTTGGCAAAGTCCCGACTGGTGGTTCAGGGGTTCAAGGACAGATCCCTGGGGCAGTACCGTTGGTGAAGGCGAAGAAAGCCATCTATGGCTTCTCCGAGGCGGCAAGACTGTTCTGGCTGGCTTTGAAGGAGCGCCTCATCAGCGACGGCTGGAAGGAGAGCAGACTGGAGCCTGCCCTGTTCTACCTGCGGGTTAAGAGCTGAAGGGCATCCTCGTCACGCATGTGGACGACCTGGAGGGTGGCGTCGCAGGTGATTACTTCGACAAGGCCTTCGCACGTTCGTCTAAGGCCCTGGAATTCACCACCAACCACGTGAAGAACTTCATCTTCCGAGGTCGCGAGGTGAAGCAGCATGACGACGGCAGCATCGACGTCAGCATGGCCAACTACGCGCTGAACATGAAGAAGCTGCGCATCTCAACTGGATCGTGCGGCAGCTGCGGTGTGATCTGGCTTATGAGAATGGCTGCATTCAGAGGTGCAAGGCTGAACCCGGCGTGGCGGACCTGGTGAGACTCCGGCAGTACATCACCCAGGTCAAGCGGTCGGCCAACTTCCGGATGCGCTACTGGCCGGATGTGAATCTGGAGACGGCAGTTCTCACCCACCTGGCGGATTCTGGGCATGCCAATGGGACCCCCGAGCACGATCCATGAAGTACTTCCTCCTGCTGGCCAACGAGGGCGTTCTCAGACAGAGGGGAGATGGTGCGCGCCAATATTCTGTCTTTTCAGTCGTCTCAGACAAAGCGGGTGCCGAAGTACTTTAGCGGCGGAGGCAGCACACCTGGCGGAGGCAGTGGAGGCTGGAGACTGGTTGGCGGTGCTACTTCATGAAGCCCTTCATGAAGATCTGGACCTCAAGCAGTGGGAGAAAGTATATGTCACAGATGCTCGCTCGGTCTACGACTACTTGCAAAACTTGTTGCAAAAGGACTCAGCCACCACGTCCACGGACAAGCGGATGGCGATTGAGGGGCGCCCTCCTCAGGGAGACTGTCAGGAGACCCAATGCCCACGTGAGGTGGATTGACGGTGAGCAGAACATGGCCGATGTCTTGACCAAGGCGAATTGCGACAAGACGGGCCTGAAGACTTTCCTTCGTGAAGGCCAACTTTGCCTGGTCCAGACGGAGGCCAACTAGCAGAGCAAGGAGCTGAAGAGAGCTCAACGTTCCCGGCGGTCAGCCGGCCCCAGGCGGCGGAACGCCGCAAGGCGAGAGCAGCTGGCACAGGAGGTGGCAGCTGAAGACTCGGAGGACAGCCAGGTCCACGGCAACAAAGAAAAAAAATGAGCGTGGAAATCATGGGGCTGGAAGTCCCCGTGCGTGGTAGTCAGTTTCGACGTGGCCAAGCTGGCCCGAGACGCATCGCCCTCATGACATGAGGGCTGACACGTATGGCCCGCTATGCGACAGACATAGCAAGGCAAAGCGCATAGCAGCAGTTTTTCAAACACGTTTCGACTTTGCATTCGCATATCGCAAAGGGGCCGCCAGTGCGCTTTCGCACATATATTATATTTTTAAGTGTGTTAAGCTTGCTCTTTAAAGCGGATTTCGTGAATCCCACTGGTGGCGCTAGGAAATCCGCTAGCTTTGCGCTAGACTGAATCCTCAAGAGTTGATGCAGCCGTCCAGTAGAAATTGTGGTTCAGAGTCACTTATGTTAAGCTTCCAGGTCCAGTCTGCAGCTGCGAATTGGTGCACTTCGAGTATACTACACTTGCACCGAAAAGTTCCGATTTGGGAGCTGGAGCTGCCAAAGCGCATGTCGTGCACCACAGTTAAACAACTCACACAAGCGGGCAAGGAATAACTCGGCACAGTTACAAAGCTCGAGCTGGCAAAGCGGCGGGCAAGCAGCTTGTGTAGGCATCTGCGTAGGCAAGGAAGACGCAAATACGCAATCGCGTAGGCACCCCTTGCAGTCGCGGAGGCTTTGCGTAGGCACTCGCGTACCGCAGGGCGGAAAGTCCCAAACTTCTGATCTTTCACTTGCCTGCTGCATCTTTGGCCGATTTTGCCAGCCAGATTTTTGCGCTAGACAGCGCGAGCAGAAGATGCAGGGAAGTGTCCCGAGTGAGCAGGGACGGTGGGGCGGCCAACAGATGGGCTTGAAGATGCGCTCATGCAAAGACATGCTTTGCTGACAACAAGTAAGCAGCTGAAGCGGTACATTTGCTGCATGACTGCTGACTTGGAAAAAGCGTACAGCAAATACTTCCAGCATTTTGACGATGGTGGAGTTAGCTGCTATCCCTGAAGCTGTTGTGAAACAGTGCAAGACGCTTGGAATGCTGACTTATTGCGGGTTTCGGGCACAAGCTTCTTGACGAACGCCCATGCGTGGATTCTGCGCTGGTTTTCTTGTGCCTTTCGGTTCTTTCTAGTTGGCCGCCGGGCCCTGCTAATGACCTTGTTGCAAGGCCGCGGCCGCTTTTGATTGTCTTGGTCATGAATCAACTTGCCTGGTTACCAGCTTCATGAACATGTGGTTGGGGGCGTGGGCAAAGAAGTGAAGCAAGGTTCAACTGTTTTGCCCCGCCACTTGAAATCGACTATGGACTACAACCCAAAGCACCCGCAACCTAATGCAACCTTTGATGAGCTGATTCAATGCTTTTCGGCCTTGGATGACCTAAGCCCTCACAAAGCACAAACTTGCGTGGATAAGTTTAGCTCTCCGTGTGAGGCTGTTCGGACAGACTAGCAGGCCATGCAAACACTGAATACGCGAGGCATCAAATATAGCATCTAGTAAACCTACCTCCCGTCAAATTGTCATGGCGCCCCAAGAGCCGTCTTTTTTGGAGGTCCCCCCCCGTTTTTGGGCTCCAGTGCGAGTACCGTCCGTCAGGTGCCACAGCCTGCGTCACGGAAGCGGCCTTACAGCTGGATGTGGCTCGGAGAAGTTCGAAGGCAAACACAGCTTGCCCCTGTTTTGCCTTCAAAGACTTGGTCATTTTGACACCGGGAGATGATCGGGGACCCATGCTCAGGTTTGAGCAGAGCTCCAAAAGCTGCAGCCTCAGTGTTTCCAAACAGCAACAAATGCTTTGCTAAACAGCGGCAACCTGAGATTCTCAATGATGCCTCAAACACCTTTCAATACTCGAGTCTCCACTAACCATCGACGATCTTACGCTCTTTTTGTCGAATGGATTTTGTTTAATGGCAACTTTCTACCCTTGTGCCTCGCCCAACGGGAGCCCTTTGATGTAAGCCACGCACTATTCCCAGCCCAGCTCCCCTTTGCTTCAAGCCCACAAGCGACGCGGCTCAACGCCCGCGTTGCGCGCGCCCAGGAGACGGCGGGCTTTTTGTGTCAGCAGCGGTGGGGAAGCTGCCGCTTCCCCGTGGGCTTCGGGCGCCCTGAGCTGCCGGAGGAGCGGCAGGTGCACGACCTGGACGCTCGCACAGGCGGGCGGGGGGGGGGGGCGTTTGGGCCAGGTCCTGACTGACAATGCAGTAGTGGATGGACGAGACAAACAAATCAAGCCTACTTGGCAAGTGATTTATTCTGGCTTACGAAAGAAATCATTGGGGCCACGCACTTGTCCGCATCCTTGGGAAAACAAAAGTTTGTCCCGGGCTCATGTAACTGTCACCGAGTGTCTCTGTCTCTTAGTGTCTAAAAATGACATACCGCCAACAAACACAAACACACAGACCTCTGAGTTCAATGTACAGCTTCCATGTTGGTCTGAGGGAGGGAACTTGTTTTTGCACGTACCCCCTAATTTTCCGCAACCCCGAAATATTGGCCCAAAGGGGCTTGTTTCAAAAACATGGATTTGGCTCTTTGTTAGCTGGTACCTTGTTTGGGGCTTTGAATCCCGGAAACCGCAAACCAGTTTTAGGGTTTCCCTGCGAGGGGCACCCACAATCGGGAAGTGACTCGCCTAGTTGGTACATGCGTCGCTTGTTCCGTTTCAGCTTCTCTTTCTCTTACGCAGAATGTAAGAAACAAGCAGCAACCCCTTAGAAACCTCTTTGACAGCCGTAAACAAACCCTGGGTGATAGCGATATGCGTATGATGCGGCCAATGTGTATCACAAAACAAAAGCATGCTGTCCAAAAACGTATGAATTTGCCAGCTGAATATGGCAGGCGCCTCTCTGAAGTTCACACTCTTGAACCGCCACGGCCGTGTTTGGACGCTTATCGCTGGCGGCGGCGCCAGCGTGGCGTCTTGTCGCGACCAGTACACCTGAAGCGAGAGTCCAATACATTGCTCCGCTTTAGGGGTGAAAGCAGCTGTGTTTGTTTCATGCGGTTCATTGATGTCTCGGGATTTATCAGTTTGCCTCCATGGAAAAGTGCAGGAGTTATGGGATTATGGGTGAATTGTAAGAGCTTCATGCTCGGTTTCAAGTAAGTGGATACCCATTGCCGCATCATGAGATGGGTTGGCCCTGTTGCTGAGATCCTGATTCATCTCGAGGTCATTGTGCATTGCACATGCGATGAATCGGCGTTTGTTGACGGCTTCTGCGATGAGATCAAGCATGAGGCCCATTAGGCGCTTGCAACTGTTGGTGGGTAGAGCCACGACAATCTGCTGCATCTTTGGAGAAAGACATGCCTGCTCCAGTACCCTTTTCTGGATCCCTGAAAGTGGACATGTTGTGGGGTGTGTCAAATTACTTTTGGTTTTGGGGTTGGGTTTCCTTGAAATCACGATTTAGAGGGTAGTTTTGAGAATGTCACTTTAACGGACCCACTTCTTGGAGACATGGCCCTCCAACAGTGTAGGTAACTCTCTTGGTTTTGAACCCAAGCTGGTCTCGAAAGGAAGATCCGGCAACCGGACGACCCTTTGAACGATCAGTGCTGCTCGGTGGCTCAGGTCTACACAGACACCATTTGCCACTTGGCAGGGGCCTTTTGGCGGGGAGGGCGGCAGATCTGCATTTTCCTCTCACGCTCAAAGTCATGGGACATTCTCTGAGATGCACACCTTTGGCTTTCCTGGTTTTGGTTGATGAACCAAACAACAGAGTGGATAATAGAAATGGAGACCGCACCCAATGTCAGTGTGGCACCTTCCCGGAGATGCCTTTCTTCACCACCAAACAACCCCAAAGGGTATTCCCTCATTAACAAAGGACCCCATTCTCATGGCCACTGGGAAAAATGGTGGAGGTGCGGGAGGCTCCCTGTAGTTTTGATGGGTACGGCTGGAGGTCTCAGGTGAATGCAGTTGGCCACTCACCTGCTTTGATGCGCGCCATGCAAGCTGATTGCGTGTAAGTCTACTGAATGGGGAGGGAAGACACATCCACCTGTCTCACCTCGTGGAGACTCTCAGGCACCCCCCGTTTGGCGAGGTGAGTACGGCTTCGCAAAGGAGCTGGCCAACTATGGGGAGTATTCCGGGGATCCTCCAGAGGACTTGGTCTACGAGTATGCCAAGATCATCTTGGGCGTCATGACCTCTTCTCCTGAGCCCCACGGAAAGGCGACCTGCACATGGCTGAAGAACGCAGACAGCAAACACAGCGTGTGACACAAGTGCCCTGACCCTCAGTTTTGGCCTTGCGCAACGAATCTGAGGGGCTGCCAGAGGGGCTGAAGAGTATGCTGTGAACATGGTCTTAGTCTTGAGAGTGCATTCGGATGGTGCAGCAATTGCACATTGGGTTCCGATGCAGCGAGTTCTGACGTGCCCATGGTCAAGTCTGTCCCACGCATTCGTCAACCCTGAGCTTCTTTTCGGCACGCGGGGTATATTTGGAGATTTGTGCAGGTGCTTCTCATAGGAGGTGGCGTTGCAAACTTCACAGACGTCGCCAGCACCTTCAAGGGCATTGCCAGAGGCCTAGCACGGTGACGCATCTCAAGCCCATCCCACCCCCCACGTAATGCAATGGGAGCTCTGTGCACAGTCCTTTTATTGAGAGGGGTGCTGTCCCAGAGGATTGACGAACCCCCGGTTGACTCGCGGGAATTCCATGTAGCGGAATCCTTCACGGGAGGTACCCCGTAATGAGGTCGATGAATTTGGAGTCAACATTATGGTATCGGGTGGCGCCCCTTTCCGATAGATGCCCCTTTCTGGGTACGAGGAGAGTGTTGTATGGAGGGGGGGGGGGGGACTTTTGTGTTTTCTAGTGAGGGGGAGGTGGGGACACAGTATGTGTTATTGAAGCGTGAGCAAGTGCTGGAATGTCATGCCAAAGAGTGCTTGCTTGATTCTTGATGCCTGAAATCAGGAGCAAGTCAAGGTTGTCAATGTTCAGATACTAGTGCAACCTTGCATGTGCAAGTCCAAGTGCAACGCGGAGGCATGATGCGTAGAAGACAATGGGGGGGACCTAGAAGGGGAGACCTTCTGCCCCGTACATGAATCCATACATGCGCATTTGACGACCCAGTCCGGAAGTCATTCCTGTCAAGTGAGTTGCCCGTGTTTGGCCTTCGCAAGACTGACGCCATCAAGCAATGCGGAGGCAGGCCAGTTGTATCTTATTGTATCTTGATAGCTGAGCCCATTCCTGAGACTCTTGTTTTTAACTACTTGGGAGTCAGGAGTTGAGGGAGTATCTCATAGTGAGGGACCCGATTGGTTTGGTTTGGATTTCCCTTTCAACACCAACCTCACAAGGTTTGGGTACAACCCCACCCAATGTTGGTGCAATTGACATGTTCACTACCAGCTTTTGCGTGCAGCTTGCATTGAATCCCCCACGCCCGCAGCAAGGTCAAAGCCCTCAAGGAGTTTGGCGCGGCTTTGCTTCTTGGACGAAAGTGTTGTTTTTCTTTTGTCTTTACGGTACTGGGCGTGTGTGCGTGTGTGCGTGTGTGATAGAGTGGTTTTTGTTCAGCGTTGGAGCTGCAGATGCCAAGTTGGGGCCAATTGGCCTCAGAGCGTCATGGCACGGAGTTGACTCGTGATGAGAGACTCCCCCGCACGAGTAACCAGGAGGATTTTGCTGGAAGAACAGACTCTTCCTCCAGGCCAACCACAGCTTGATCAGTGATTGCTGTGGTGTCATGAAACAGATGGCACATGGCTGAGAGCCCCTCCTGGCCTCATCCAGAATGCCTCAACTCGTTCCAACCTTTCACTTGTACATGAGAGTACGGGAGCATTCGCCTACGCACCAGGTTGCAGAAGCAAACTCATGCTCACTCCCCTATAGCACAATCCGCCTGCCGGAATCTCCAAAACGGTTTCCTCTACCCCCAAACCGCTACCCCCAAATGAGTACTCCCAGGGTTTGATGGGATATACAGCCAATACAAAGCCACACAGAAAACGCCTGTTTCCCGTGGTGCGGGGGTAGAAGCCATCGAGCTCCGGTTTGGTGAGGAAGGCCTGCGGCACCAGCGTCTGGGTGCGCCGGGGAGGGCCCAACTACTCAGAGGGCCTGACCAATATGAAGAAGGCCTGCGAGGCATGATGGGCAGGGTAGGGTGGGCGGTTGGGCTAAGATGGCGATGAAGAGATTGGGCAAGATTCTAAGATGGCTAATAAAGGACTAGTCACAGCCTAAGATTGCAAGGGTTTGGTTCTCCATGGTTGGCGTAGAGGTTCTTGGGATCTCCTTTGAATGGCGTTGGGAGCCTGCAAAATGTGGCTTGCGGCCTTTTTTGGAGTCCTTTTCAATAAAACCCCAGCAAGGGTACCCTTACCAGAAGATGCTCCTGTCTTGGGCCTGAGACCCAGCCAAACCATGAAGGATATAACCCTCCACGGATGGGGTTTTGTATTGTCATTCCTGCCCCTGACCAATGAGGCCAATGGTTGTTGGGTGGTGGTACGTAGTATGTGCACCATGCACCTTTTGAAGGATTGTGCTTCCATGTTTCCCCTAGTGATAGGGGTGTGATGACCGGGGCGAGGACAATGGAAAGAGAGAGGAGAAACTGGAAGTTTGGGGTCGCAGTGCCATCGGCTCGGTTGCAGGTCTAATTGGTCAATAACTATTTTGAGGTCCCGGTCCCCTATTTTGACGGCACACACACACCATGCAACAAGGAGCCCAGAGTCGAAGCGACCATTCGTCCCTCCCATTTGAAGAACGCCCGACGTGTCAATTATTGTCTGAGTAAACTGCCGGTACTGTAAACCAATTCACGCAGTATCTCAGGGAATTACAGCGTTGGCCGGCTCAACTTTGCAAGCTGAAGCCTGTCTTGGCTTTCCTTCACGGGCACCAGAGAGACCATCGCCAAAACGTCAATCTTCGTTGATCTGAAACATCACCTGTGCCGATTGAACTGGGGTTTCTTGCCAGTGTGGTTCTGTTGGGGTGATAAAAAGTGGATAATTTCGGAGCCTGGCGCCAGGACATCGGCATCCCCGCCAAAGTCTACGGCCCAGAAGCGCACCTCACCTCCATCGTGCGGGACGCGCTGGCCGGGGAGCGGTCCTTGGCTTCGACGCCGGAGCCCGTGGTGAAGCTGCCGCAGGCCCCGGAGGTTTCTTCGCTTGGAGGGTTTGGTTATTTTTTGGGACGTTAAAGGTGAGTGTCCTTTGGCTCGGCTGATGTTTAGAGGGCAAGTAGGAGGCCAGGGCCACGAAGACCTGTTTGGGTCGAAATGGTCATTAATCCCTTAGAAGGGACTTTAGACACCAATTGTAAGGGTTCCTCTCCAGGGAACCATGACTTTCAGAAGGAGTTTTGAGCATGCCACATATGTGTCTATGTGTCTAAGTGTCCTGTGTAGATCAGTTTGGTTGAAAACGTTTGGCTTCCATTGGTTTATCTTTGCTTTAATCATTTACCAGTGGAATCCATCCATCTATTTGTCAAACAGAACAGCTGGGTTTGTAGGCGAATAGGTTGGTGAAAACAGGCGGCCTGGTTCGTTTGAGGTGTTGCACAGCTTGCGTCAAACACAAGCTGTACAGCAGCGACAGGCTTCCCACGGCATTGCCACAAGGTCACAAATTGAATACGTGGCAGGGATGGGCATCAATCTACACGAGGGACGTGATCAGGTCAGATTCCCAGACCTCCAGTGGTGCCCTTTGTGGTATTTTGTGAGGGGCGCTCCTTCAAAATCAACTGCCTATTTTCCAAGGCGACTTGGGAGTTCTTGCTCACCGCAGGCCGAGGATCACCCAAAGAAGCGGCAAAGGAGCGAGAGTCAGCACCTCATGGAATTTTCCGCGGACACGCAGGCATTTGTGTATGGTATGCAGCCACTCAGTCGCAGTCAAATGGAATAGACCAGACAGACACATAGATACAGACAGATACAGACCGAGACATACGAAGATATTCAAGGACATACAGACGAACATTGTGTAATACACACTGAGACGGACAGCGAGCAGACAGAAACGACGGCTGCACACATAGAAACGACAGGTACACACATTCAAAGACGGGCATGGCCACACACGCACACACAACAGAAGCGCAAGCACAGACAGAGGCACAAACACACATGTGCATACTCACAGACAACTGGGCACAATTATACACACAAAAGCACAGAGTCAAATCACTGCTGTCTTGGCAATGTAGATTGTCATTGTGGCTTTCATGTCGCAACCAAAGCGAAACCAGCCATTTTTGAGTAGCCAAGCTCGCCTTTCTGACACAGGTTTGCATGTTTTTCAGTTGAGCCAAGGACCAACGCAGTTCAAAGAATGCTGGACTTTGACACCCTTTGTGGTCGGAAGACTCCCAGCGTAGCTGCTATTATCAATCCCACCGGGGAGGCTACCTTTGAGAAGTTCTTGTTTGGATCCGCAGACGTGCTGATCCCGGTGTACTCCACGCTGTCCGAAGCGGTGGAACGCCACGGCAAAACGCCCAAGATGCTGGTGCCTGGGTTTCATCGTGTTGAGCATCACATTGCCAACGGCCTGAAAGTACTCGAAGTGTGTTTGGTGTGTCTGTGTTTGAGGCTAATTGGTTTAATGGAAGTCCATTGCAGGATGTCTTTTTTCCCGGCGCCCCATGGGACCTGTCTTTGGAACATGCTGGCTAAGGTCAATCTGTTTAGTCTGAAACTTTTGAAGCCCTGCTTTGGTGAAGCTACTCCTGGTAGCCCCTCATCAGTTTCAATCTTTTGTCGTCTTCCCCAAAAGGGCGTCTTTGCGTGCATGTCTTTCGCGGGCGTGGGGTGTTTGGGCACGCGGTCTCCCAAAGCAAATGGCTCGCAAGTGAGCTTCGCCTCCTTCCGGTCAGTTTTCAGCTCCACCATGGAGGCCCTGCAATTTTCCCAGGCGCCGAAGTTGCACCCCGCATCCCATGCGGAGCGTGTTGTCTGTCTTTTAACGGGTCTGCAAACCGTAGTAGGCCAGTTTGTTCAGGGGAATGCTTTCTACTAAATCCTTTTTTGTTTGGAGATTGCGCACTTAAAGTGGTCAACTTCGCAACGGCTTCTTTTTGTGCCATGTTCACTGGGCAACTGGGATAGGTGTCCTTGCTGGTTTCAGTTTGCGTGGACCCAGCAGGCAATGGCACGAAAAAGGAGACCACTACATCATTTGAATCCGCCGGTTTATGAATCACATGAGCCCACAAGTCAGATTTGCCCAGGTCAAGGCTTTGGGTTGCAACCACACTATCCTTTCTAGGTCAGTTTGAGATTAATGGCATTGATTTAAGATAAATGCCAATAATTTCCGTGTTCCAGTGACATCTACACCTAGCAGGGTTGCAACTCTCCACCTTTGAGAGGTCATTAAGACCCACGCCATCATCGCGGAGGGCGTGCCTGAGGCCAGTCGCTTTTGGACCCACGGTGGTTTTTCAATCCAGCCAGAATTCCCACAGCAACAGGAGCTTCCATTTAGGAGGTGGCCCAAACCTGCCATTTTGTGGGCCTCAAGCAGGGCAATGCAAACCTTGGATTACTCAGAAGTCGCCTTGGAATGGATGATGTCTTAAGGTAGAGTTTGCTGTATTAGGTTGAATATGTCAGTCCTGTACCGACTGCTCGGACCACCTGACAATGAGGCCTGACCTGCATCAATCCAAGCCATGCACGCAAGCCCCACTAAAGTAATATCAACATCCTGAAACCCAGCGTTTCCTCAATTCAGAACAAGACCTTTTCAAGGTGTTGATTGACCTTGGTTTTGCCTTCAAAAATGACAACAACTCGCCCCCCCGTAATTTGAGCAACCCGATCAGAAACCGCTGTATGTCAACAATTCTCGATCGGAGCCCCACAATGTTAATTAGGAAACCCTTTTCGAAACATCAGCTTTGCCTAATCCCTGATCTCCCCTGAGATCGGCAACATGCCATGGGTCCCACGAACGCCCTTTGGGCTCTCTCGCGTACCGCCCAACTGAGGCCATAGACTGACATGGTTTGGATGCATTCAGGGTACACCAGTTTCGGGGGCCCTTTTGCAAAAAGCAAGTCAGGCATCAGGATTGCGCTTTATTTCAATTGTTGGAGGGTTAGGCAAACCAGTTAGGAGGGTAGAGCTGAATTGGGGACCTTTGTTCTATACGCGGTAACGCTTTGGGCTTCGCAGGCGTTGACCCGGCGCCTTCACGTGGAGGCTGCCAAGGCACAGGTGGCCATTATTGGGCCTGCCACGGTGGGGGGCATCATGCCAGGCAGGCGTCTCGGCAAATTCAATCCGACCGCGACCGTGTGGATTGCGTCGACCAGAAATGGATAAAGAGAGCACAAACAGCCAACCAGCACCGAGTTGGTAAAAGACGTAAACAGTGGGTTGACCAGTTTCAGTGGGGAACCCACCGAAGAAGAAAGACTGGAGAGCCGGGGTAAATGACTTGGAAAAGGGGTTCATTGCTGGACACAAATTCCCATGTGAATAATGTCCGCAAAAGGGCTTTCAATTAGACCTCCTCCACAACCGGTGCTTTTTCTTTGGTTCAACATTTTCTGCAGGGCAGTGCCGTTGGAGAAAGATACTTTGGGGGTCATGCTTTTCCACAGGGGCAGTGCCCTGCCTGCGTTGGAAACATACGGCTTTCGCTCTAGGAGGTTTCCTTTAGCCCAAACCGTCAAAGCATTCCGCAAAAGGACACCAAAAGGCCGAGGAACTCGAGCCTTGAGCCGCCGCCTCTGAAAGCCACTTGAAGGAAGCCTTGTTTAACAAGAACAAGAGCCGAAACGAATAGGTGTCGTGTTTACTTGGGCTTAAGCTCGCAGACTGTAAACAAGATGATTCCAAACTCAACCAAACGGATTCCGTCCAAGCGTTTGGAGCCAAATTGACACATCTCCATTTACCGCTAGTGCTTAAGACATGTGCAATCCACAAAGTTACTGTCAAATTAGCAGTTGAGAACTCTTTTTGGGGGTCTCTTTGTTTAACTAAACTGATCCCTCGACCTTTAGTGGAACATGTTTCGCTCAATCAGCAACATGTCATTGTTTTGCCCAGGGACGCATTTTGTCAATCTCTGGTGTTCTTCCGCTGTTGGCACGAGTAGTAGTTCTGATGCGTTGGATTCTGGGTAAAGGCGTGTTGTCATTTTGTCGTATTCCGGCACTGCTCCGGAATTCCACATATATGCCCACGGAAAAAAGGCTGGCGCACACCTCAGGTTTCGCATCGGCAATGCGGGAGGCGCAGTGGAGAACCTCCTGCTGGCCAAGCTGTACAGGCCCGGCTCGGCTTCTCGGCCTTGGAGTTTCGAATTTCCGCGGGTAAGACTTATGCGAGGAGGTAACCAAGGGTGTGTTGCCCGAAAATCCCTAAACCCCAAGCTCTAAACCATTGGATGTTGGTTAGTTTTAACAGTTAGTTGACGTTGCGTTATGGTTCTTTTCCGCTTTTGTGCTTCCAGTGAGCCTTTATAGTATACTTCCTCACCAGAGGTCCCCTCAGTCTTCAAGGCGCACATAGTCATGAAACCCAGAATGGCACGACATAGAGCTTTCTCTTGGACAGAAGGTAGGGGTGTAAATCCATCAACCCAGGCTCTTTTCCTGTTTGTTTTCAGAAGGCACCTGTTCTCCCTGGCACCCTGGAGCCTGCTTTTGACTTTTGCAGATTTTCCCTCAACTTGACTTTCCCAGGTTGGGCACACCAAACCATACAGATGCCGATTCAACCCGGCAAAGGTTGGGTACACCACCAAGTCTGGTGGCATGTCCAACGAGCTCAACAACATCGTGGCGCACACCGACGGGGTCCGTGAGGGGATCGCCATCGGCGGGGACCGCTGGCCCGGGCTCCGGTTCCTGGATGTGCTGCTGCGCTTTGAGGCGGATCCCAACGTCAAGACACCCGGCTTGAGGCGCCAGATGCGCCAGATGCGCCAGATGAACCTATGATTTTGGCTTACCCTTGAGGAAGTGCCCCGGTTCTTTGTACAATTGTTCCCATTATCCAGTTCCTGTGAGGGGCACAATTCGAAACACATGGTGTGCTGCAGATTTCGGTGCTTTCCTGCTACGCAGCTTAGGATGATGGTCCTCTTGGGAGACTTGGACTTATTGCAACTGCGGGCTACGGCTTATTGGCAAATCGCGTTGGGCTTGGAAGAGGTCCAACATGCTTGATCTCGCGCTTCACTCAACACTGGGGCTTCATTCGATCGTCTTTGTTTGGAGTTCCGTTAAGATTCCCTTCTGCAACTGGTGCTTCCACATGTTGAATGACGCTGTTGCTGCCCAGGTATGCAATGTCAGCACGCCACAGATATGCACAAGCTCTTTCTTGAAGCGGCCTGAAGTTTGCTGCACAATCACCCAAGCTTGTTGGTGGCTGCTTATGTGGCACGCCGTCTCAATGAAGGTTGTTGGGCCGGATGACCGTTCTTCAGGGTTGGGTCAAACACGTGTTTAATGATGTTGAAGCTAATACTGTTTAAACCAAGTCCTTTAGGTTGACCTTGAAAGGGGACAAGGGTCTGGTCGTTTAGGTACATTTTGCCCAATCCCGTTGTCCGAAGGCCAAGGTCAAGACAATTCTTGGAGCCTCGGTTCCCGAGACGGAACAGGCTTCGGTTCTGAAGATGCAGTCGGTCCAGTTGTGCCCCTGCAAATGATTGTTTTCAGTTGTTTTGAAAGCCACGGGTGCCTGCTAGTTGCCCAAAGCAGGTGGAAGAGGGGCAATTCTGATTCCTTGGTCGTTTCAACAACGTTGCCGGCTGGTTGACTTGTCCTCTCGGGTGCCGCCCGCCTTCCTTTGCCCCAGCCAGATCTGAGGCGAGGTGGGGGGGCGCGAGGAATATCTCGTGGCCGAGGCGATTGAGGAGCGCGCCGATGGGGCGATGGGGCGATGGGCCGTTGGGTGTTTTGCAAGATCAAAAAGGAGGAGCCATTCAATTCTCTGGGAGCCTCCAATTTGAGACGTACCCAAAAGGCAGTCCTAAAGTTGAGTGTTCAACAGTTGTGAAGGACACAATGAAGGAAACCAGCCGCCCTCAAGGAGTTACAGCCGAATCATCTGGCCGGTGTTGTATGGGCTTCTTGATGACAAATAGTGAGGTCCCCCTGAACGAGGGACAAGCCCTAGATCAGCGAGAGGACGGGCGCCTGACGAAGCCCTTGGTGGCCTGGTGCTGCGGCACTGCTGCCGAGGCCTTCGATTACGAGGCATTGGAGCGCAAAAACTCCCGCTGGCCATTCAGTATGTGGTTAAACCGGGTTTCGTGGGGGTTATAATTAGGCCGATGTAAGCCTTCCTATGAAGGTGACTGGGTTTGAAGGTTGAGGCGCTTTTCATTTCAGCTAGCCAAACGTGAATTCAAGGGAGGGCTGAAAAGAAGAAGCAACTATAGTTTGAGACAAGCAAACGACAACCAATGGCACTTGCCTTTGTCCAAGTGGACGACGATGTGTGCTGGCGAAAGTAAGGCAAAGCTGAGCGGAACATTCCATGTGTTGACCCTTTAGGTATTTTTGTTAGATTTGTAGATTTGAGATGCTATTCATGGTTGGTGCGGGCTGCAAAGAGCAGCAGTGTTTGCTAACATGCGAGTCGGGAAGTTAAAGGGGCTTCCTTTTGGCAGCTGAGGTCGAAATGGACAATCTAGGGACCTCGGGAGCATTGTTGAGCTGTGAATAGCGGGACCCTGGCGCACCAGTGAGCCGTGCTCAGGTTCAGTTCGGCCACGCTGGTGCTCGCGCTCGAAATGAGGAGGAGACGGCTGGAGCAAAGACGCCTGGCGAGGATGGCGATCGGGTCCAGGCGGTTGACTCCTTTTGTGCCAGGGCCCGCCCTGTTGAGCGATTAGAGGAACCCCCACTTCAAAGCCAGCCACTAGTTAAAAATATTACATTGTCGGGGATGCGAGTGAATATGCACTCATTGCCAAAACCGGCTTGGCAAATAGAGGTCGACCATCATGGTGGATTTCCAGCAAGCTGAAGCAGCCGACCGGTTCTTAGGTGTTTTCTCCGTGTAGGTTGGTGCTGGCTGGTGTGGCTTGGAAATCTGGGAAGGTCCGTAGAGGTCAACAGCTCAGATTTGACATTGCGCAATAATATGGGTCCTGGTCATGGTTTTCAAAGTAACCCTTCTTGTCAAGGTTGGCGCAGTTTCTGATACAGAGCTTCAAGACACTCTATCCGACCCCAAGTCTTCAAGTGCCCGTGTTGCAGCAATTTTCAGGTAGGCACACATGTGGGCAACTTGCCACAAGCTCACCTGGGGTTAAGACAAGCTCATCCTCAATCATGGTCCCTTACTCGAGGATTCCTTCTTTCGGGTTTGTGATTTGTTGGTTGATGATGCTAATTGTTGGAGGCTGTCACCTTGGTTTGAAGGGAAAACCAAAGAACATCCACCCATTCTTGTGTGCATTTGCCCAGAGCCAGTAAGGGAATCCGTATTTAGTTCCTGAGCCTGAGCATGGCTTTGCCACTTGCTTGGTTATGTCCTTGTGGTAGGTTGTAAATCATCATATGTTGTGTTGCGCAGTGGCACCCTTTTTCCCTTCTTGCTTGATCAGATCCCCACCAAAATGGTCACCCCAAGGTGTTTCCTTCTTCTACCAGGGTCACTGGGCTACTGGGTGTCCGGTTCCGCCGAGGAACCGCGCCTTGGCCAAGGCTGGGGCCCACGTGCCCCGCAGCTTCGACGAGTTCGGGGACCTCATCAAGGCGGTGCACCGAGCGCTGGTGAAGGCTGGCGTGGTGGCAGCGCCTAGGAACTGGTCCAAAGGGTGGGGGTGGGAACCCACTGACCCCTTGGGGTCCAAAAAGCGGAAGGAGGTCAAAGGAGATCCCTTTCGTGGGTGGTGAACACTTGGGGGTCTACTTTTCAGCCTCCTGCTTGAGTCCTGCTGTTAGCGTACTGTGTTGGTTTTGGGGTCCGGGTTTGCAAATAGTCTTAAAGGTGTCCATGGCCCAGGGGGTGGGTGGGGGGGAAATCCCAAGATGGTTGGCTTTGTTTTTGTTTTCCCCAAAGAGCAACCTCAAGACAAACAAACAAACCAATCGCTGGTTGGGGATGTTTCAACCCGATGTTGTGAAAAGGCCCGACCATCCAGACAAACCCTTTCAGAGTGCATTTGCCGGAACTGTGGAAGTCTGAAGGATACTCGAGGGGATAGGGCCCGTGAAGCGTCGCATCTCGCTCTGGTTATCTGGGTTCCTATTCTACAGTTGACAAGTTAGCAGTGCTAGGGGAAGTGACTCTTGCATCAAGTGTCAGATCGATGCCTTCGGACGTGGAAGCCGAAGCTAAACATGAGCCTCAATGTTTGTTAATTGAGGACTACAAGAAGCTCGGCTGGGGGTAACACCCCTCTTGGAGATTCCTCACTTTCGATGCAATTACCTCCGCCCAATGAAGTCTACGTTTTACTTGGACAAACATCCAGGGGCTGCCAGTGGGTTGCCAACATCAAATATGCCAGCACCAGGCATGCCAGATCCGATTGCTGAAGTTATTTCTTTCCGCAGCGCAGCCGTGCACCATTGCTGTAAAACGACAAGAACCTATCATGGGTGAGGGTGGTGAGAATAAGGTATGTAGATAGATAGATAGATAGACAGATAGATAGATAGATAGATAGATAGGAAGGTAGTCAGATCGGTAGATGGTAGATAGTTTGCTGGCTAGCTAGCTAGCTTGCTTGCTTGCTTGCTTGAAGCACACAACGTTCAGCCTCCCACAAGCCTGGTATGGGTAAATAGGTTCCCTCATTTGGGGAATTTGTGATAACACGGCAGTCAAGTTGGGCGAATTCTGGTCCATACTCTTGCTAACCTGTTAGTGGTTGAGCTGCTTTCGGCTGGGGAATTAGGAGATGTATTTCAGATTGGACATGTCAGATTGTTGAGAATCCCTCTGTACATTTATGTTGATGTTGTTGTTTCACTCTCTCTCTCTCTTTGTCATTCCTGTTTGTGCTTTTGGTTTGCCTCGCTCAGTGCCGCCATTCTTGAGGTGCAAGATGAGCCGCCTGTGCCCAAACTGCCTGGCGACTACGAGTCTCTGAAGAAGCAGCTTGGCAATGGAATTGCTCCCGCAGTGCTGCAACAATTTTCCCGCAGTTTTTCCGTTTCGCCCTACTTGGAGCTTGAATCCTGAGGGTAACGCCGCAAGGCCACCCCGAAGTTAGAGGTTTAGGCAGGTAGGCATGTTTTTGTAGTGGAGTGCTTGAACGGTGGTGTACGCATGTGTACGCGAACCGTGTAACTCTGTGTTTCCCGGCGGGATGAACTTCCATCACTCAGAGTTGCTGATCTGAAGGGATTGGACCTTCTTGAATGTCCCCCCCTTTTGGAACAGTGCCATCAGTCGCGGGGATCCCCTTCGGCGGAAAAAGGGGGGAGGGGGGGTCTGGATGGGACTTGGATTTTCTTTAATATTGCCAAGTCTAAATTTAGTATTGCCGGGACTAACCCTCAGATTCCCAGTTCTTACTTTTAGTATTTGAGCTTGCTCATGTTTTCCGTTTTTTTACTTGAGGGGGAACTTTCTATTATTGAAGGCCCAACAGTCGCAGATCAATCTTGAATCAGGAAAACACTTTCAACAATAGACATCCGATTCACAAAAGCTGATCCAACAGTATAGTAATTTGCACAGATCCATCATGTGCATGAGCCCTCAACGCCCGCGTGTGCAATTTGTGCAGGAAGGGCCTCGTGCGGAAGCCAGCCAACTTTGTTTGCTCCATCTCTGATGATCGAGGAGCTGAGCCAACCTATGCAGGAGTTTCTGGTCTGCATGTTACAGTACATGTGAGCACGTGGCGGTGTGAATGCGTTGGTGCAAATATGTGAGCACTTGTAAATGCCACTGATATAACAGGATGGTGTTGCATGATTAGTTCTAGTTGTATGTCATGTTGGAACTTGTTTGTGACTTGATGCGTGTGATGCCTCTTTCCGTTTCTGAGCTGTTGCATCATGGCATCAAACCAGGATGCTAGCAGTCGAGGCACATTTAGAGGCTCATATCGCGTGAGCCTGTGTCGTATTTTGGCCTTTGTCTCGAGCGTGTGGGCGGCTGACGTGATGAGGTTCTTCTAAAGTGCTTGCACGTGTTTGCTTTTGATTGCAGCTGTGCACTTTTCTTCCCCGAGGTCCTTGGAATTTGGATCGACTGTCCAAGCTCCCATTCACGTAACCGGGGTAGAATGCAACTTGCGATACCAGGGCTACCTAGACCACTAGTTTTGCTTGCCAGGAGGATATCAGGGTAGCAAGACGGGACATGACAGGGGCACACGGTTTATCCCCGGAATCCCTAGAAACTGGTACCAGGGGTACCTAGACAGATAGCATGGGACATGGAGGGTTTAGATAGCCATGTTTGCCAGGGCAATATCAGAGAGAGGGCATAGGGTCTGTCTAAAGGGCTCACCATGATGTAGGTCCTTTACTTGGGGATCCAATTCTCATTTCAGGCTGTGGAGTTATAGCCAAGAATGGTGGCAAACTTGCTTTACTTTTCCAGACCCCCTATTTAACCCCGCTGGGTCTACGCCCCCTTTAGCCCAGGTGCCCATCTCCGAGATAGCCAAGGATGAGACGCTGGGTGTGGGCGGCGCCATATCTTTGCTGTGGTTCAGGCGGGCTGCGGCAATTTGTTCTGAATACGTGTTTTTTCAAAACTGCGTTTCAGAAGCCAGCTACAGGAAACTCTACTGGATTTTGCCGCACCCCTTATTTTTGGCCGATATTTGGCTAGTTGATTGTAGAGTTCCCTGCAGTCAATTTCTTAGACAAAGTCAAAGATGGGACTCTTTGCGCCTCCAGAAGCGGAGACTTCGAAGATGGTATAACATGCGGTCAGGTGCGGATGAAACATACCCGGCCAAACGGCTCTCGCGTTGGCTTCATTCCATTTGAAACAAGAACACACGGCTTTGCTTGCTATGGTTTCGAAGGTAATCATGCATATCGCGATTCATAGTATAGCTTACGGTTTGAGAACTGGACACTCTTATTTGACATAATCTTCGGAACTGAGCCGCTGCGGCCCTTTGTTAAGAACATCCAAAGCATTTTTTTGCACATGTTCTTGGTGCTGGACGCAAGTGTTGGATTTCTTCGTGTTAGTGTTTTTCCTATGCCGTCGCATGATACTTACCATGAATCGCCAATGTCAGGGAAACCAACTAGCAGGGATACAGGGGGAACCAGGGATACGGGAGGATTTCCCCTAAATGCACCTTGACTAAATTTATGGGAAATGGCTCCAAGGGAATCCCCCCACATCCCCGCTCCCTCCGTATCCCCGCTTGTTTGTTTGTCCAACAATGACCAGATGGACCAGATGGATGCAGTCGAGCGTGTTCCAGACCAAACGAATTTGGTCCGTCGTGCGGCATGAGTCTACCAATGTCAAGGGCCAGACAGTCTTTGGCAGGCGACGGTTGCCGCCCTACGTGTCCAAGTTTATCGAGCTTTGTGCCTCGACCTGTCCATGTCGTGGCACCTGAGAATTGTGTTTATCAGCCGGTTTACTTCAAATATCTTCAAACCCCTTGAAATATGTCGAGGCAATAAGGTCACTATTTCTTCTTTCAGACGTATTCCACACAGACAGAGCATTGGGTATGGATTCTCTGTGTCTTGCCGTTGACAAGTGAACACGGAGACCACGGCGCCACTAGTGCTTCTAATGGATCGGGAGAGGGGATGTCAAGCTTGGGCCGCTGAGCCCGAGCCCTGAGCCTTTCGGAAGATTTCTTCGAGGGTCCCTGGCCCCCTGGTCGTGACGTTTCAAGTCCCGCGGCCTTTTGGACGAGCGGAAAGCATCCAGTCCAATGAATTGGGAGGGGTG